TCATAATCATGTGTCCTCATTTCTGTAACGCAAAAAAAATGTTTCTCTGTACGGTTTCCTAAACTGTAATATTCGGACATTACCTGAGCACTTAGGAGACCATTAAAAATAAATTGATCATAAAAAATATAAAACCGTTAAAAACACAAAGAATTTCAGCAGAAGTGATTTATATAGAAGGTCTGTAGCTGCTTTTTGTAAATAACCATTTCAAGTATGTGTATTGACACCAAACTTTGTGTTTTGAGTGGCATGCAAGAGACATTGATTAGTCAAACAATACACAAATTCCTCAAGTTGACAGCAAAAGTTAAGTGATCAGTTTGTTGACTGATCAGAGGAACCGTGCTCTCAAGGGCAGTGATTAGGCATTCAATCTTTTCAAAATTAACTGAAGGAAGTTATCTTCTAACCAGTTGGTGACAGCTGATGGACACTTGAGTAGTTATGACAGTTTATAGAAATCAGAATCTTTAAAGGAGCAGTACAAGTGGATGTGATCTGCATACAGATAAGAGATATTATGAAATTAATCCGTTATCCGTCCAAGAGGGTGTATATATAGTGCAAACAGGAGTAGACCCAAAATGGAGCCTTGGGGTACCCCACAGAGCAGATTGGTAGAATCTGACATTTAGACACTGAAACTTTTGTTAATAAGGTATGGTCTGAACCTGTTGAGCACATTTCCACAGATTCCCACTGAGTCACAAACTTTGTTACTGAAGGTGCTGTGATCAGCAGTGCCAAAAGCTGCAGAAAGATCCAACAAAACTAAGGCTTAATTTCCCGGTGTCTGTAGCTGATGTCACAGAAAACTTTAGGCAAATGTTTCTGTTGAATGCTTTTTACAAAAACCGGATGGAAAATTACCCAAATTGTTGTATAGTTACAGAAAAGTTATGAGTGGATCTGTTTTTCTAAAATTTTAGAGAACTGCAGTATATTTGAAAATTAAGAGGTCAGTTTTGGAGGGACATGTTACCGTAATTTCTGGACTATAGAGCCGCACCAACAAAAAAAAAAAAAAGGGTTTCTACACACACACTGCACTAAAATACAAGCCGCGGCGCAGCAGCCAAACGCAGGTCTCCGGTGCACAGTGCACGTATGGCCATAACATAAGATAATTAGACAGAAAGATGCTACACGGAGGTTTTTAGTTGTTGTTTTAATTCAACAAAATGAATTCTAAACATGGGTGAGCACTGACAGCATTCATATTTCTGGATGGTTATAAAATAAAAACAGCGCTGACACGTTATTACCGGTCATTTGCATGTTTAGAAGAAAAGAACAGCGCTGACACAGCATTAATAAGCCCTGGATGATTAGAAAATAAAAACTGCACACAAATCATGCCTGGTTAGTAAATAAAACACACTTGCCTACCAGAAGGTCATTCGCTCTCATCTTCCTCTAGCGCACTAAAGCCATTAAAGTCCTCTTCTTCAGTGTCGGAGTTGAACAGCCTCAGAAGAGCTTCGTCATCATCATCCCTGGGTGAAGCTGGCTTGAATGAGTTCTTCCCGCTGCCGCCTCCAGCGCCGAACCATGGATTCATTCATGCCAAGCTTACGTGCGGCAGCACTGTTTCCCTCCTTTACTGCCAGATCGATGGCCTTCAACTTAAAAGCGGCATCATATGAACTCATACGTGTAGTTACCATGATGAGGGGGTATGGATTTGAAAAAAAAATTCTTCGTCGTGCCGGCTGCTTGCATGTGCAAAAATAAAATGAGAACTTTCTTCGATTTCCACTTTCGACTTCCACTTGTTTTACTTTCTGGCAGGTGAAGGAAAATCTTCAGTAAAGCCGCACCTCATTATAAGCCACATGGTTCAAAGCGTGGGAAAAAAGTAGCGGCTTATAGTCTGGAGAATACGGTAATAAGATCCACAATACAAGGGCCAAGTAGGTCAAAACCCTACCTTTAAGGTGTGTTTCCAGTACTGGAACTTCAGGGTAAATTTGCAGGAACTTCTCTACATGTGCCTGTCACCTCTTGACCGGACCAGCCGAACTGCCGTTTTCAGGAATTATCTGAGTACCTGATATGTAGTTGGAACGGCCCGGTGGAGTAGTGAGTGGAACCTTTGGTTAACTCGTGCTGATTGGTTGTAACTCAGCAGGAAATAACATCAGCTGACACTGTTCAAAACAACAGGCTTTAGTAAAAGAGTTACATGTGAAGCAGAATGGAAGCAAAAAAATTTAAAAAGCATCAATCGCGCAGCTTTAAAATTGCCTACTGATGTCCCAACACCACAAAACATGGGGAACGACGTAAATAGCTGAGCTGCTTATGGTCATCGAACGCCACATTTAAATAACGCAGCTACTCTCTTCCTCTGAATGGAATAAATTATGATATACTTCGACAAATTAAAACTAGTTATGTTATTTTGGTGCAGATCGCTCACTGCCAAAGCAGCCGCAATTCGCTGACGTCTGTACAAAGTCCTGAAAGGGCTGAATTTGAATGGAGACACAACAGCTGAGAGGACCGGAACATCATATCTCTCGTTCAATTTCCCCCTCCCAGAATTTACCCTGAAGTTCTGACAATAGAAACACAGCTTTAGAAGTAGGGACTCTCCAGTCCAATCACATCATTTTCAAATGAACTGAATCAGCTAGAAAAGATCGGATTTAAACCTTATAAAACAACAAAATTATGTTCTTCATTTATCCAAGCCATTGTTATTTTAAAATTGATTTATAATGGCGTAGTTTTTAATTTCAACACGTTCCTTTGCATCAATATTTATTTCTTTGACATCTACATCGTAACATCACATAACTTAAGGCAGGCAGGGATTCGGACACATGCAGCTGTTAGCTAGCAGACTAATGCAGAACTAACCCCTGCTTTGTATTAGCATGTTTCTTACTGTGCATCTGGAAAGTATCCAAAGCGCTTCACTTATTCCACTTTTTTGTTTATGTTACAGCCTCATTCCAAAATGGATTGAATTCATTTTGCCCATAAAATTCAACACACAACACCCCATAATGATATGTGAAAAAAGTGTCGTTGAAGTTGTTGCAAATATATTAAAAATAAAAAAACTTGAGAAATCACATGAACATAAGTATTCACAGCCTTTGACGTGAACCTCAGAACTGACTGGAGGTGCATTCTGTTTCCACTGATCATCCTTGAGGTGTTCCAGCAGATTAATTGGAGTCCACCTGTAGTAAATTAAGCTGATTGGACATGATTTGGAAAGGCACACGCCTGTCTATATAAGGCCCCTGGGCTGACAATGCATGTCAAAGCACAAACCAAGCATGAAGACAAAGTAATTGAGAGTAGACCTCCAAGACAGGACAGTCTTGAGGCACAAAGCTGGGGAAGGTCACACAAACATTTCTGCCGCTTTAAAGGTTCCTTTGAGCACAGTGGCCTCCATCATCCGTAAGTGGAAGAAGTTTGGAACCACCAAGACTCTTCCTAGAGCTGGCCAGCCTTCTAAGCTGAGTGAACGGGGAGAAGGGAGAAGGGAGGTGACCAATATCCCGATGGTCACTTTGTCAACGCTCCAGCGGTCCTCTGTGGAGAGAGGAGACCCTTCCAGAAGGACAACCATCTCTGCAGCAATCCACCAATCAGGCCTGTATGGTAGAGTGGCCAGGTGGAAGCCTCTCCTTAGTAAAAAGGCACATGGCAGCCTGCCTGGAGTTTGCTAAAAGGCACCTTAGGGACTCTCAGACCATGAGAAACAAAATCCTCTGGTCTGATGAGACAAAAATTGAACTCTTAAGAGTGAATGCCAGGCGTTACATATGGAGAAAATCAGGCACCGCTCCTCACCAGGCCAATACCATCACTACAGTGAAGCATGGTGGTGGCAGCATCATGATGTGGGGATGTATTTCAGCAGCAGGAACTGGAAGACTAGTCAGGGTAGAGGGAAAGATGACTGCAGCAATGTACAGAGACATCCTGGATGAAAACCTGCTCCAAAGCGCTCTTGACTTCAGACTGGGGCGACTGTTCACCTTTCAGCAGGGCAATGACCCCAAGCACACAACCAAAATATCGGAGTGGCTACAGAACAACTCAGTGAACGTCCTTGAGTGGCCCAGCCAGAGCCCAGACCTGAATCCCATTGAACATCTCTGGAGAGAACTGAAAACGGCTTTGCACCGACGCTTTCCATCCAACCTGATGGAGCTCGAGAGGTACTGCAAAGAGGAACGGACAAAAGTGCCCAAAGATAGGTGTGGCAAGCTTGTGGTATCATATTCAAAATGACTTGAGGCTGTAATTGCTGCCAAAGATGCATCGACAAAGTACTGAGTAAAGACTGTGAATACTTATGTTCATTTGATTTCTCAAGTCTTATAAATTTACAACAACTTCAAGACTTTTTTCCACATTATCATTATGGGGTGTTATGTGTTGTTGTGTGAATGAGGCTGTAACAAACAAAAAAAGTTGAATAAGTGAAGCACTATGAATATTATCTGGATGCACAGTATAAATGTGATTCCTGAGTGTGATGTTTTTGCAGAGAAGCTAAGGAAAGTACCTAAATACAGAAAGCTAGAAATAAAAACAAAAAACCAAAAGGACAACTTGGATGTTTTTCTTATTTTAATGTCTGGCTTAAGTATTGGCCTGATAACTTCTGATTTGTCAATTTTTGAACTTTTTCTTTGGCCATTTTTAAATTCTGAAACCTTAATTACCAGTTACTTTTATCCATTATTCACAGCCGCTTACGGAAGCGTATACAAGGTCCTGAGTTTTTTCCCCCGCACTGATGGTAATACGCTTCCGTAGCCTCTTATCAGAAAAACAACCAAAATCCACACAGACCCTCGATACCTCCTGTTTTTTAAACCAATGGTATATATATATATATTATAAAAGCAAATGCTACAATTACTCTGACTTTAAAGGGGACATATGACACTTTTCAAGTTATAACAGTTCTATGGTCAACACTAAACTTATGTTTTATTGCATAAAGTCCCTCTCACAAAAAGCAATCTCATCAGCTTTATTCTTGACACTTTCAATACATTCCAGAATGAGCTGTTTCAGGGCTCTGTCACTTTGAAACAAGCTCTTGCTGGACACACTAACCCATCACCTTAATGGGCGATGACCCCACACAAAAAAGGAAATTTACAGCATGTTTTTGTTCCTTCCCTGCTCCACCACACCTGATTTTAAACCAGGACTTCTGAAAAGCTTGAACTACTGAACAGGTGATTTAATCTTTTAATCAAGTATGTTGGAGTGGGAAAACAACTAGATAAGTGGCCCTTCATAACCAGAACTGAGCATCTTGATCTATGGCAAAGGACTGCTACCAGAGGTGAAATCTAGGATGTGAAAATTAAAACGTTACCAGCAGGAACCCTTGCAGTTAAATCTGTGTTTTGTTTCCTGTGTGGACTCTCATGTGTGTGTTTAAACTGACCTTATGCCTGAACCTGTCTCCACAAACATCACACACAAAAGGTTTCAGTCCTGTATGGAGTCTCATGTGAGTGTTTAAATTTCCCTTTTGGCTAAATCCTTTTCCACAAACATCACACACAAAAGGTTTTTGTCCAGTGTGGACACTTATGTGTCTCATTAAGAGTTCCTTGCGGCTAAAATTTTGTCCACAGAACTTACAATCATAAGGTTTCTCACCTGTGTGGACTCTCCTATGCATGTATAAACCTGAACTTTGCCTAAATCCTTTTCCACAGAGCTCACAAACAAAAGGTTTTTCTCCTGTGTGGATACTTATGTGCCTGTTTAAACATGTCCTTTGGCTAAATCTTTGTCCACAGACTTCACAAGAAAAAGGTTTCTGTCCTGCGTGGACATTTATGTGTACGTTTAAATGACTGTTACGGTTATATCTTTTTCCACAGAGCTCACAAACAAAAGGTTTTTCTCCTGTGTGGATCTTTAAGTGCCTGTTTAAACATGTCCTTTCGCTAAATCTTTTTCCACAGAGCTCACACATGAAAGGTTTCTGTTCGGTGTGGACACTCAGGTGACTAGATGGTTTTTGTTCTATCTGGACTTTCCTGCGCGAGTCTAAAATTTGCTCCACTCCAACACCTTTCTCGTTTTCCCAACATCTTGAAGACCTTGTTGCTGAGAGACTTGTCACTCTCACATGTTTCTGGAGAGACCCTTTGTGGAGAACAGGTTTACCACACTCAGGGCAGCTACATGATTTGGTCACAGACTTAACACCTGACTCAGAAGACTCGCTCTCATTCCATTCTTCACTGTCATCAGTTTCTGGCTCAGAGTCTGACAAGGGTTTCAGCTGACAGTTACAACAACTTTTCCCACTCAGGTCATCTTCATTCAAACCAATTTCAGGCTCTGAAGGGTTGGAATCATCTTCATTAGCATTTAGATCTGAATTCCTGGTACTTTCTGCTCCTCCACAGTTCTTTCCACCACTTTCTGCTTTCATCTGGTCAGGACAGCTGCTAGTTGGAAGATCTCGGTCAGTAGCCTGGTGCTGATCGAACTGTGAAAACAGAACTTTGTCTTCATCCTCCTCACACTGACAAGAAGCTGCAGTGCATGAAATCCTGGTGGCACAAGTTTCCATTATCTCATTAGATGGCTCTTCCCCTTCCTCCTTCACGTTGAGGGTCTCCAGGTCCATCTGGCTCACACCAGGTCTCTGTTCTTCAGGAGCCTCTTCTTTAATCGACATCATCTGCTGAACATCTACAGGGAACACAAACACAGAAACATTACCTTTATGTTTACACCAAGCAGAATCTTCTTTACCTTACTTCTTTCTCTACCTTACCAAAGCAACAAATATAAATGCAACAGCTACAAACCACAACATTTTCAAGTCCCACAATTAACGGCTGTGAGATTTAGGTTTCTTGTTTTGGCCTGGAGACCCTAAAGATGATTCCTTTTCTTCAAGTTAGCTCATGAATGAAAATTCTGAGTTTTTAAATTAGACATTTGGTACACCTAGCCAAACTACAGGTTTCTTAGATTTATTATATTAATTTTTGTGTATTATGTGCCTCTTAAACATTTAATCAGTAACACCAAAAGATGATTGTTGATCTTAGTCATCTGGGAGGGGCTTGGAATAGGTCCACTGCTCCTCCACATCAAGAGGAGCCAGTTGAGGTGGCTCGGGAATCTGGTCAAGATGTCTCCTGGACGCCTCCCTGGTGAGGTTTTCCGGGCATGTCTAACCAGGAGGAGGCCTAAAGGAAGACCCAGGACATGTTGGTGGGACTATGTTTCTCACCTGTCCAGAGAACGCCTTGGGATTCAATCTCACTCCCATACACTGTTGACACCTTTTGTTTCCCAGTTCTTTAAGCTGAGGATGCACCACACTGCAAGATTAGCAACTCTTAAGCTTTCAGTCTGACACCGTGATACAGAAGCTCACAAAAGCTGTCCTTTTCAAAGGTCAGTAGAAAATCACAATGTGCTTTAGCATCTGTCTGTAGATCTGTTATTTTTATAATTAAAAACATGTATAATCTGTAATAAACAAGTTTTTCATAACTGTCAGTCTGTAATTCATTTACTCTTTAATTTTTGAAGTGTTTATTTAGCCCTTTAACTCACAATTATCCCAGTTTTCTCTTCTCAAACTTTCATTTTAAATGGGTTGCAGGCTGAAAGTGGAAATAAATATAAATTATTATAATAACTTGCCATAGCACGTATATATTAGGTTCATATTACCTGCAAATTTTAAAGTCAAAAGATTTCCATTTGTCTTTTATAAAATATTGTCTCAGTCATTGAGGTTCTAGAGTTGTTTTGCTTTTTTGTTTTTTGGACTGGGTGTTTTAACTTAAAATTTTGTTTGCTGCTTCTGTGTATTTTTTTTTTTTTTACAATTTTCTGTAAATTAAATCAGGTATTTGAGTTTTTATTTATAAGTTGATATGGTAAGTTATAGGTATCTTAAAACTTATATTAATAAGTTGACCTCAGTTTACAAACTACAGCTAGTTCATCAGAAGCAGATCTTGTTGACATTAAAACGGTAAGTCTATGGGAAATTGACAGGATTGGGGAAAACGGCTGGAAAGTGGAGTGAAATAAGGAGTTTCCTGGCAAAACTGATATATTTCATAGCTACGTCTCTAATGTTTCTAAAAAAAAATCAAACCGTATGAAAATCGGTTGAAAAATGAGAAAGTTGAGTTGTTTAAATAGTGCATGCACCAATTAACACCAGTGTTAAGAGGAGGGCAGCTGTCCGAAGTAAGATGGCCACCATGTACGGACATCAGGGTCCATTGACGAACAGTGCGGGTGAGGGATCTAGTTAATATATGAGATCTATGGGTGGATATATGGATATATATGTCGATGGGGTGGAACTGCAATTTCTGTCACTTCTGTGTTGGCTTCAAATTCAGACCCGAATTATGGGTGTTGAGCTTTGTTGATTAGTTGTGCTCTTACAGCTGTGACTGATTAATGTGCATGCATAAATAAAAGGGTGTGGTGCTGCTACGGCGACTACCGATCCCCACTGAATAGTGGCTGCATGGCGTTTGTTCGTTCCTCCGTCAAGGGTAACTGGCCGTTGGTTCTCCTGTCTTCAAATGGCTGTGTCAACAGGTTATGGGCCCAGAAAAGAAAGTGGAAACCGATGGCAACGATTGTGTTTCGACGGAGATGAAAAAAAACTTTGAGTTGTGGGAGACGAAGGTTTTGGGTCACCTGCGGCTGCGGGGACTTAAGGAGACAATCCTATACTCAGATGAGCCAGATGAGGGTGAAGAAGATGTTGACGATTCAAAGAACGAGGAGGCATTGGTAGAATTAATCCAGTTTTTGGATGACAAAAGTCTTTCCCTCATAATGCGAGATGCCCCAGATGATGGAAGGAAAGCCCTGCAGATACTGCGTGATTATTATGCGAACAAAGGAAAACCCCGAGTGATCAGCTTGTATACTGAGCTGACGTCACTTAGGAAAGCAAATAATGAGACTGTCACTGATTACATCATCCACGCAGAGACTGCCATAACAGCACTGAGAAATGCAGGAGTGACATTAAGCGACGGGCTGCTGATCGCGATGGTTCTGAAGGGGTTACCAGAAGCGTTAAGCCATTTGCCATTCATATAACTCAAAGTAATGACAAGATAACATTCAGTGCATTTAAAACAAAGTTAAGAAGCTATGAGAGTACTGAAAAATTGAATGCCTCCTGCAATGATGATGCTGTTATGAAAACTGGAGATTCGGGTGTGAGGATGAGAGGAAAAAGAGACTTTACTCAGTTAAGATGCTACACCTGCGGCCAGACGGGGCATAAAGCACGAGAGTGCGGCCCTCAGAAACAGTGGTGCACATTTTGCCAGGGCGCTACTCACAGAGACTCGAACTGCAGACGGAAAAAGAGAGACGATGCAAAACACGCAGCTGATGAATGTCACACATTTGCCTTCAAGATCAGCGACAGCGTAACGAACAGAGTGAAAGAAAGAGGTCTGATGGTCGACACAGAAGCAACTTCCCACATCATCACCGACATCAAGAAGTTTAAAAGGATGACACCTTCCTCTCGGAGAAGCACTTCATGGAGCTGGCTGATGGGAAGCGAACGAGTGGCGTTGCACACAAACGAGGTGAGGCCGTGACGGCAACACTGCAGAAGGCGCTCTACATCCAAACGTTCCCACAGGACATCTTCTCGGTCAAAGCTGCGACCACCAATGGAGCTGAGGTCCACTTCAAGGAGGGAAGCAACCAGCTGATCCACAAGGACGGCACCAGGTTTGACATTAAAGAATATTGGAGACTGTACTATCTGAACACTATAAATAGTGAGTGATTATGATCAAGAATGTCATGGATGTTATGATATTCAAATATGGCATGAGATACTTGGTCATTGCAATTATGATGATGTGTCAAATTATGATGATGTGTCAAAGTTGGAGAACGTAACCAAAGGAATGAAAATCAAAGGTAAAACTGATCAATCTAATCTAAACTGTGAAATCTGTATACAAGGAAAGTTTGTTCAGACTAGAAACAGAGAGCCTGATGTGAGAGCTAAAGAAGCACTGGAGTTGGTGCACACAGACCTAGCTGGCCCTATAAGCCCAGAGGCCAAAGATGGTTTCAGATATGCTTTAGCATTTACAGACGAGTATTCAGGTGCAATGTTTGTTTATTTTCTCAAAGCCAAAAGTGGTACTGTTAAAGCAACAGAAAAGTTTATTGCCAACACTGCTTCTTAAGGGAAAATAAAACAGTTGAGGTCAGACAATGGAAGAGTTTACATACACGGAGTTTCAGTCATTGCTTAGCAAAAATGAAATAAAACATGAAACCTCAGCACCACATTCACCCCATCAAAATGGGATGGCTGAGAGGAGTTGGAGAACTTTATTTGATATGGGGAGATGCATGCTGCTACAGAGTAACCTGCCAAAACAGCTGTGGACATATGCTGTAATGACAGCTGCAGTTATCAGGAACAGATGCTTTAACAAGCGTCTAGGCCAAACCCCATACTACATGCTAACAGGAAGACAACCTGACCTGTCAAAAATGAGAACTTTTGGATCGGTTTGCCATGCATACAAGCATGATGAGAAAAAGTTGGACTCCAGAAGTGAAACTGGAATCTTTGTTGGCTATGATAGAAATAGCCCAGCATATTTGGTTTACTACCCAGAAACAGGAAAGTTAAGCACAGGTTAGTGAAGTTTGTAACCAAGACTGTGGTTGAACATTCAACTCAGACGGACGTGATTTTAACCGAAGATGATGTATTTGGGGAGAAGCTTATCCCTTCCGTATCTAAAGAGCCAATGACTAAACAAGATCCTGAAGTGAAAGTTGAGACAGAGATTGAAGCCTCAGAATCCGAAAACAATGATCAGATCGAAGAAAGTCAAGGTACACGACACGTTGTCCTAAGAGGGAGAGGAAACGTCCAGAGTACCTGAATGACTATGAATGTAGAGTGGAGGAAGATGAGGAATCAATTGATGTGGATTATTGTTACAAAATGCTAAACAATACTCCACAGATATTCAAGGAGGCTATCACTTCATCAAAGTCTGAAATGTGGGTACGGGCAATGCAAGAAGAAGTGAAGTCCTTAGGAGAAAACAATACGTTCACATTAACTACTCTGCCAGAAGGTAAATCCATAGTGGGGGGGTTAGATGGGTTTATGTTATTAAAGAAAATGCAGATTTAACAGAGACATATAAGGCTAGATATGTAGCGAAAGGATATAGTCAAGTAGGAGTAGATTACAAAGAAACATTTTCTCCAACAGCTAATATGACTTCTGTACGCACATTAATGCAGCTTGCAGCACAGAATGACTTGGAGGTGCATCAGATGGATGTAAAACCAGCGTATCTCAATGCTCCCATTGACTGCAAAGTGTACATTGAACAGCCTGAAGCCTTCGAAATCAAGTCGGACGCGGGTTAATAGTTTGTGTGTCGGTTGAACAAATCCTTATATGGTCTAAAGCAGTCTGGGAGGAACTGGAATAAAATGCTGCATGATTGTCTTTGCAAAAGTGGTTTTATACAGAATGAAGCAGATCATTGTGTTTACAGTAAACAAACAGAATATGGAAAAACTCATCTGTTAATCTGGGTTGATGATCTCCTTGTTGCATCAAAGGATTCAAAATCACTTGAAGAAGTCAAAGAAATGTTAACAAAAATGTTTAAGATGAAAGACCTTGGTAAACTAAAAACTTTATTTGGTATTGAGTTTACACAGAAAGGAGAGATAAAGATGAACCAAATGAGATTCATAACAAAAATTTTGGAAAGATTTTGTATGTCTGACTGTAAAGCAAGGTCTACTCCATGTGAACAAATGATGCTTTTTGATGATGAAGGTGAATTTGTTGATGCAAGAAGGTATCATGAAATGGTTGGCAGTTTGATCTACGTAATGACCTGTACAAGGCCTGACATATGTTGGATTGTTAGTAAACTTTCCCAGTATCTGTCTAAACCAAAAGAACAACACTTAACAGCTACAAAACAAGTGTTAAGATATCTAAAAGGGACAATAAATCAAGAACTGTGTTATAAAAAAAGTGAAGACAAGCTTGAAATTTTAGCTTATAGTGATGCAGATTGGGCTTCAGATCACTACAGGCTACTGTTTTTAGCTTAAACAAAAATGGCTATTATCTCCTAGAAAACCAAGAAACAGCAAAGTGTTGCGTTATCAACGTGTGAAGTAGAATATATAGCTCTAGCTGCCACAGTACAGGAGAGTTTATATCTTTTGCAACTGCTAAAAGGGTTGACTGATGAGTGTTATGTGCCTGTAAAAATCTTTGGAGATAATCAAGGTGCTATCGCTTTGTCTAAGAATCCAGTCTGTTGTCAGAGATGTAAACACATAGACATAAAGTATCCCTTTATTAGATCTATGCTGAATGATGGAAAGATAACCATTGAGTATTGTCCAACCACAGACATGGTTGCAGATGTTTTAAAGTCTGTAACAAAGGTCAAGATGGATAGATTCAAAAAATGTTTGTTTGGAATGGAAATTGATTTTGTCATAATGGATAAGTTCACAGTATAAGAGCAAGTGGGGGTGTTGAGTTTTGTTGATTAGTGTTGCTCAGTGACTGATTAATGTGCATGCATAAATAAAAGGGCGTGGTGGTGCTGCTGCGGCGACTTCCGGTCACCGGTCCCCACTGAATAGTGCCTGCATGGTGTTTGTTCGTTCCTCCGTCAAGGGTAACTGGCCGTCGGTTCTCCTGTCTTCAAATGGCTGCGTCAACAACGGGGGCTTAGGTTGGGCACACACTTTTTACGCTAAGCTACAGACACATGATGGAGGATGAAGCTAAATCAATCACCAACCTGAAAACTATCACAAACTTCATCACATTTGATTGGGAAAATAAAAATACACAAACCCAGTTTGTCCATCACATATATCGCGGGGACTTGAAACAGCAGTTCAACCTTCTCCTCTGTTGCTCCTTTTCCGTTAAACGTGAAAGCTCCTGTTCAGTCTGCGGCTGATCTTTCAGTCTCCCAGATGTCTCCCTCTGCTGCATCCAGTCGCTGTTTGACCTGCTGACTCCACGTTTTTAATATTCACCATTAACATTTACTGTGGTGTTAGAAGTGGGCATAACAAGATTCAATTAGTTTCACCGCGACTTCTTTCAACTCACCTTGATAAAAGAAAACAGTGAAACGTGCAGGCACATACCGGAAGTTCCGTCTTTTTATTTCTTCCGTGACGGAACACGCGCCATGGGCGTAATTTGGATCGTATGCCGTCCAAGGAAGATCCTGCCTTTCTCGCCTCTGATTGGCTAGAAGGGCTCTAAACGTCTTCCCTCGTGCTGCCTGTCCTGCCACCAGCAGAAAGCTATTTTTGAGTTTGTGAACTTAGCGCTATAATAACCATTCTGTCATGTTTTGCTAAATATTATTTTATAAAGAACTGAAAAATATGAATTTTTAATAAATCTTGTTGAATTTATCAAACTGACTTACTTTACATCTGTTGGCTCTGAACCATTTGAGTACATAGACTAAACATATGTGCTTTACTTGGGTATGAAATATAAAAAACTGCCCTATTCTGCCAAGCAGAATCATAATCAGCTTTTAATTACATTTTGATTAAATGATATACATTTAATCTGATGATGAGAGGTGTGCTCTAACGTGTAATCAGCCATAACCTATTAAAGTGAAGACACAGGATAGCCTATTAATAAAGTAATAACATAACCCCAATAGAGCCAACAGATAAAAAGTCAGTCTACAAAATTAAGAAGAAGCTCCTCTTCATGAAGCAACAATATTATGAAATTGGTGGAAAATCCATGAAACTTTTATCATACAGACTTAGAAAACAACTAGCGGATAGAACTATATATAAAATTAGAAACCCAGTAACAAAGGACATAGAAACTAACCTGGAGAAAATTCAACAATGCTTCAAAAGATACTATAAGAATTTATATAAACAACCACAAAATAGTAGCCACAATTAAACGGAAGTATTTTTGACACAGATGGAACTCCCTAGGATTACTGAAGAACAAAATAAAAAATTGATAACGGAAATAACAGAAGTAGAAATTCAATCGGCAATAAAAATAATGAAAGGGGGAATCCCCAGGGACAGATGGTTATCCCACGGAATGGTATAAATTAGGATGATGAAGGATCAGTTAATCCCAACTTTATTAAAGTCATTCAATGGGATCTTGAAGCATAAAAATATTCCCCCCTCCTGGAAAGGAGCAGTTATATCACTTATACCAAACGAAGTAAAAGATAAAATGGAGTGTGGAAACTATCGTCCAATAAGCCTTCTAAATAACGACTACAAATTACAATACTCCCAGGACTTATACATAAGAATCAGACCGGCTTCGTCAAACAAAGGCAAACACAAGACAATATTCGGAAAATGTTGCACATAGTAAGACAAATCACACAACAAAGATTAGAAGCTTTGATTATAAGCCTAGACGCAGAGAAAGCATTCGCTTCGGTGAGGTGGTCATTTTTGTACAAGGTGCTTTCTAAATTTGGATTCCATAAAGACATAATTGACTTTCTGGCAGCAGTTTACGATAACCCGACGGCTCGAATTAAGATAAATGGAGAACTGACACGTTTGTGTTAGAGAGGGGAACGAGACAGGGATGCTGTATGTCGCCACTCCTCTTCGCCCTTTTCAGGGAACCCATGAGCCAACGGGACAGCCCAGACATACAGGGGATCACAACCACATCAGGGGAACAGAAATTAACTTTATTCGCAGATGATTTATTAATTAGCATAACTAATCCCACACCGTCTCTTCCAAAAGTTAGGAATACTCTGGAGGAATTTGGCCGTATTTCTGGATACAAAATCAACATTAACAAAACACAGGTACTAGCATACAATTATAACCCCTCTCCATCAATAAAGAATAATTATAATTGGAAATGGGATGCCAAATCCATGAAAAACCCAGGTGTATGGCTACCTAAGGACCTGTCACAACTCTACACTCTAAATTATGACCGGCTAAATTTGAAGATAAAATCTGATATTCACAGATGGAATGAGATCCCCTTCTTAAGTTTAAGCTCTCGGATAGATTCAGTCCAGATGAATGTTCTCCCATGGTTGCTTTTCCAATGCCTGCCAGTTAGTATACCACCTGAGCAGTTTATAGAATGGGACAGACTAATTGCCAAGTACTTATGGCAAGGGGAAAAGGCCAGAATTAGATTTAAAACTTTGCAGCTACGGAAAGAAAAGGGAGGCATGGGACTTCCTTGCTTAAGGGAATATTATCTTGTAGCCCAACTGAGATACTTAATTTGCTTATGTTCACAGACATATAATGCTTCATGGAAAGAAATAGAGGGCACAGCAGTAAAAGGGATCCCGATAACAGCTTTAAGTGACCCCAAATTACAAGCAAAACATGAGATCTTGGAGGATTTCTTGGCAAGTAGTTACCTGAACTCTTGGCAGGAAATCATTAAGAGGATTAGGTAAAGAAACATCAAAACTCTGGAGGTGGCCTGCCTATGATTCGAAATTTATACCAAATAGGACTGATGGTAGATTTAAGACATGGATCTCAAAAGGATTAACCACATACTACTCATTTGTAAGTGGGGGGCTTTTCAGAGTTTTGAGGCTTTACAAAACACATATGGGTTGGGAAGAAGTGACTTTTTCAGGTATCTTCAGGTTAGACAATATTTGAACCACAACTTAAATAAGGAGTTGAAACAAGGAGAGGCCGGATTCATTGGGGTCTTCTTACCAAGACTAACTTAGGCAACAAAAAAATTTATATAAGGCCACACAGGTATCTAAACAGGACAATACAGAATACATAAAGATGGGAAAAAGAGATCAAATTAAAGATCACACAGGAGGATTGGGACAGTGGAACTCTACAGGGTCATATAACTAGAGAGAATTCCGCTGGAAAAACATTACAAGATACTTTATTACACCTATCCAGAAACGACACCTAGGCACTGGAGACACCTGCTGGAGACTTTGTGGAACTACAGGAGCAAATCATTTTCATGTCTTCTGGGACTGTCAGGTGATAAGGCCCAACTGGTCAGAGGTCAACAAACACATTAACTATGTATTCAATGTAACAATCCCACTTCATTGTGTAACAATGTATTTGGGCAACATGTCGGGTGTAGCACACAACATGAAAGACAAACTGTTATTAATGCTACTGGCAGCAAGAAATCGGTCACAAGGAAATGGTTACAAGCAGATCCTCCCACGATGGGAGAGTGGATTGAAATAGTCCGAGACACATGTTATGGAAAAGATATCTTCATCCCTCAAAGTGGAAAAAGGAAAATTTTATAAAATCTGGACCAAGTGGACTGAGTCTGTAAAGCCTACCAGATCTGACTTCATGTGAAGTATAACTTTGAAGGTGGGAACTGATCTCTACCCCCTCTCACTTGTTTAATTTGATCCATGTATATGTGTGAGTGTAAGATGCGCCCCCCGGTTTGGATTTGTTAATGTTTTGAACTACTGGGTAACAGGACTTAATAAGAAAATGGGAGCGGGAGATGGACACAACCATCCAAATGTAAGGAATACAACACCTTGTGCGAATGTAGATTACTCAGGATGATTGTAAAATGGAAATGGGAGGCGAGTTGATCATGCCCCTCCAAAAAAAAGAAGAAAAAAAAGTCAGTCTACAGTGTGATAAAATGTAACAAGATTTATTACAAGTTCACATTTAACATTTTTAAGGTTCTTTTATGAAAAACAACAACAAAAAACTGGTTTGTTGCAAAACAGCAAAGGATGTTTATTAGTGATGAGTTCACATTTCCTTTAAAGACTCATCAAGAGCTAGCTGTAAACATAAAACCCTGCAGGAGGAAAATGGTTTCCTCTTGCATTAAAAAGCCAATCATAGGAGAGCCCTTCCAGCCAATCAGAGGCGAGAAAGACGGGACCTTCCTTTAACACCCTATGATTCCAAAAATCCTTTTCGTGGACCATAGATGGGCGTGGCTTAAACTCCCTATGGGGTGTCTACATATTTCATGTCTATGAAGCTGGCAGGAACTTTAGAGATAGACAGACAGACAGATGTGTGTGCAACCTGTTACCGGCATCGTGAACTAGCAGAAGCTGATGTTTTGTTGACAGAGAAGCTGGATTCCTTTGATGCCAAATGCTTTTAAGTAACGGCTGTGGGGACAGAAGCATGGACTGGAGAGATTCATGCTACATCAGTCATGCATGGTGAAGAACAAGTCAAGTTTAATAAACACACACGTCCACTAAAATCTGGTTTTTAATCATTAACACAAAATATGACAAAAATAAAGTCAGGAAACGTTCAGTTTAGAAGCCGTCGGACATCTTGGTCACGTTTAGTTTAAGATCTGCGACGTGGAGGTCAATACTCTTGTGCAGCTCACCCATGGAGGCAGACAGTGTGTCGTACAGCGCCTACACACACACACACACACACACACACACACAGACATCAAACCAAAGGTTATGTGCACCTGTCAGCCTGCAGGAGTCAGCCCTACCTGAGCCTTCTTCGTCTCCTTGCTGCAGACTTCCCTCAGGCTCTGGATTTTGGCCTTCAGCTGCAGCGTCTCATGAGAAATCTCTTGGATTTTGTCCGCCATCTCCTCACGCTTCTCGTGGATTTGGTTACAGTGCCTGGGAGCAGATGACATTAACAAAGGAGCCATCGGAAACTAAAGTGTGTGATAGGGCTGGAGATCTTACCCCAGCACTCCTTGAACATGCTGTTCCTTCACCTCCTTCCTCTTCTGCCTGCGGATGTCCTGTTTGCACTTCTTATCCATCTTCATGCCCAGGGCTCTCCTCAGCAGGCCCTCCTCCATGCAGAGGTTTTTGATCTCCTTCTGCTTTTCCTCATACTTCTTCTGAGCCTGTTCCTGTTTCATGCAGAGAATGGTAAATGTCCTGTTTTTGTACCTTCTTAGGGTTCTACAACCCCCCCAAGGTGCTTCACAACACAATCAGTCATTCTTTCATTCACACACTGGTGGTGATGAGCTACAGTGTAGCCACAGCTGCCCTGGGGTGCACTGACAGAGGCAAGACTGCCGAGCACAGGCGCCACCGGTCCCTCTGACCACCACCAGCAGGCAAGGTGGGTTAAGTATCTTGCCCAAGGACACAACTACAGCCTTCTCTGGCAGAAGCTGGGATCAAACGGGCAACTTTCCCATTACTGGACAACCCGCTCTACTTCCCGAGCTACTGCCCCTCGTGTATTTTTCTACTAAACGTATAGAATTCTCACTCGGTTTGAAGACCACGTTTGTGGCCTCGGTGCTACATAGTGATGACCAAACACTGGAAAGCAGGAAAAGTCATTAAAGAAGCCCCACTTCTGCTTCCTTACACCTTCAATCTGGTATACCAGACTTTATTTCTACAGTGTCTCCAGACAGTCGAAGAAGGTAAGAGAGCAGTCGAGATTGATATGGTTTATCAGAATTCTGCAAAAACACAAACTTAGACCCAGCCCAGGGTTCCTACAGGTTTCTTCAAGGTAAGTTCAAGTCTTTTTAAGTCCATTCAAATAAAAACTTAATACCTATTTAACTGCCCTACCGCAAACTAAATTCTTGAACATGTGCTCATTTCTCTAAAGAAATATAGAATGTGTAAAAGATGACAACAGGACAAGCAGCAGCGTGAATAATTCAAGAACTTTTCAGCAGGCCACAAAGTAGTTTAAAGGGATATTCCACCCCAAAGTGAAATTTTGTCTTTTCTCAGAGTTAGATTAGTGAGAAGAAAGCATTTCGTAACCAGCGCAGTAATTCTCCAGGTCTGGCAGCCATCCGTCTGCTTTTGCTAAGCATAAACAATGGAAGTGAGTGGGAACTAGTAGCATTTTGGTTGCAAATGACTCAATAATGATACCAATTATTCTCGTTGAGCTCAATAATCATGTCGACTGCAAATGAAAAGTAAGAAGCAACACTAAGGATTTGCAGGAGCCGATTTAGACTTGGGACTACATCATGACAAAGCACTGCTGTAACCCGCCGCTGCATGGATATAACTCAGTGGTTGAAAACGCAAGACGGCTTCTGTAAATAAAGAAATGTCAGTGTAATTATTTAGTTTAATGTAAGGAAACTGAAGTGTTTTTTAAAAACCGTGGCCTCCAGAATGCGCCGAGTAGCATGCAATCACAAGCAGCGCTGTGTAACTGATGCCAGACGGTCGGCTGCACAACAAGTTCTGAATCTGAAGATATTTCAGCTAGCATCCCACTCGCTCTTTACTTCATGTTCATAAATGTAACGAGCGTGGGACTTTAGTCGTGCATCAGAATTAAAGGCTGTATTATTTATAGAGTGGGGGAAAATGTTTGGCGAGTCTGGGGCGTTGGCAGGTTTCCGGTAAACCCGCCATTAACCGTTTAGGGGCGTCAATAACCGGTTAAAGACATTTTGGAAAGCGTGCACCTCTACTGACATCCCATCACTGACGAGGGACAGGAAGTCCTGACAAAGCTGGTGCTTACCACCTCCTGCTGCTGCTGCTTGATGTTGCTCATGCTTCTCTCCAGATCCTGCAGGAAGCTGTAGATCCGCTGGTTCTCAGCTTCAGTGTAAGTCATGTCCTGCACCATGTTCTGCAGCTCCACCCCTCTCTCATCTTTTTTCTCCTAAAAACAAATATCCAACAGGACAGGTGTGTGACAAAGTCCCTCGCTGAGCAGAAATGAGCAGGTACTGAAAAAACTCACAATGCAGCTCTTGGTGTTCCTGACCAACTCCCTCATCTTCTCCATCTGGCTCTTTAGCTCCTCTGGAGACTCCACGATCTGAGATTTCAGTTTACTTATGTCCTCCTTCAGGTTGCTCACGTCCACTTTCACCTGGGCCTGGTTCACACGCAAACACACACACACATACAGGTACACACACTTTGCAGCGTAACGGTGTACAAAGTTGCAGCAGATTAGGGTCACCATCACCTACCAGCTTCTGCGTCCTTTCTGCGATGGTAGTTTTCCACTCTGCAATGCTGTCATTGATGACATTCTGAAGGAAAACAAGACTCAGCTTTAACTGATGTGAATTTCTGAAGTGTTGCTGCTCTAGCTGCACCATCAGCACATACCACTTCCTGGTATTCACACACGGTGGCGGCCTGCAGCTCAGAGAAGGCAGCAGCCAGCTCGTCTGCTTCAGCCTGCTGCTCTGGTGGGATGGTCCTGGAACAAAATGGCAATCACTCAACCACAGGTGTGAATCTTCACTAGTCTCATGATTCGATTGCAATTATTGGGTCAACGTTTCAATTCGATATCTCGATGCATCACGATCATTTCACATGGATTTGTTTTTGTTGATAAATTGAAGACGTCAGATATTTGCTTTTTTTTTTATTCAAAAACGTGTCTGACACAACACCCCCAAAAGCTCTTCATTCACATCAATCTTTAGGACAATGTAAAAGTGCAAAGCATTTTTAAACAAGCTGTGGGAGAAACATGCTCTGCAGGTGCCAACAGAATCTAAAAAAATACTGAAAACCTAAAGGACACGTCCAACTCTTGCCTTTAATTTAGGTTATAAAATCCATAATGGGTTCATATATTAGTTTTAAATGTGTTTGAGCAGCTTTAGTCAAATATTTATGCCGCAGTTCAAGGGCATAAGAAACAAATAACACAAAATGAAATGTTTGGCCTAGTTTGTTATTTTGTTTGAACCCAATGGTCTTGTTTCAGAAATGTTGGGAGAACAGATCAAGTTCTGTTTGATGCAAAAAATAATAAAACATTGAAAAAAATCCTAAACTTCCAATAATGTTTATTTTTGCTGATAATACTAACACCAGCAGGAGGCTGTGGCCTGGATTAGGATTAAATGAAAGCCTAACCATTTGACTCCACACCTTTCCACAAACCTGTCCTGTGTGACTTATCTCCTCATGTCCATGCGGTCTCTGGGGGAGCAGATGGGAAACAAGAGCTCCTGTAACTTCAAATGAGCCAAAGCTTCCTTCCAGTTGAATTTAACATTAGTTTGTCATCATTAACCGACAGAATAAAGTGGAACAGCAGCACATATTGCTGTTTCTCTTTGACCGTTCTCATTCAGAGGAACTCACTCTCCTGTTAACTTCTCTGTGTCGCTAAATAAAAGAGACAGATGATTAGATCCTGCTACCGCTGTCCATTCAAGTTGATTTATAAAGAGCCAAATCACGACAAGAGTCGTCTCAAGGCACTTCACAGGTCAGTTCATTAAGCCAGTCAGAAAAAAGTTTCCTATATAAGGAACCCATCAGGTTGCATCGAGTCACTGACTGGCATCAGTGAATTTACAGCAGTCCTCATACTAAGCAAGCATTTTGCGACAGTGGAGAGGAAAACTCCCTTTTAACAGGAAGAAACCTCCAGAGGATCCTGGCTCAGTATAAGCAGCCATCCTCCACGACTCACTGGGGATCGAGAAGACAGAGCAGACACACACACACCAGCACCAAAATCAAAGCTGGTGCTGATTTAACAGTCGGTACAAATAAAGACAAACCCGAGAGAACGTTAAACTACTACTACATTTATATTTTCATAAAACTGAGTTGACAATCTTACGTCAGCGTCTCAATCTTCTTCTCCAATTCCTGGTTGGCTTTGATGTAACCCTGCAGCCTGTTCTTGTCAGCTCTCTGTTGAACACACACACACACACACTTTAGCTATGAACATTACTATTAACACTCCAACATAGTACAGATGGTCATGCTGATGTTTAGGGGAATAATTCCATCTGTAATGCTGCAAAAAATGAATGAATGAATGAATAAATGAATGAATGAATGAGGAACAAAGCAGCAGCAAATTCATGAGCTGCTGTAAAAATCTGAACTTTACTAAACTAGAACTATTCTTTTTTTGAGCTGGTGCTCATTATAATCTCCTTTAAATTTATGGGATTATTTCAATCTCAACATAAAAAACAAACTTTTAAATGAAAAACTTAAAGAAATCAAATCTAAGTGAAAGTGACAGTGTTGCCTTCTAAAATAGGGCCGTGTGACTAAATGATGAAAAACAAACATCCTGCTGTCCCATCCAGACCCGGTGACCTACTAATTTGGCCAGATTCTCCAAGGTTATTTCCATCCTCTGATTCCTGAAGTGAAGAAAGTTCATGATGGCACTCAGAATGGTCAGAGTTCGCAGCTTTTCTGGAGAGGAAAAAAAAAACAGTTTCCCAATCAAAACCTGGCAACCTGATGTGTGTTTAAGCAGTAAAGCCTAGGGATGCTTCGATCCGATCACGTAATTTTTAAAAGACCAGGATAAAAAAAATAAAAACAAAATTGGATCAAACCTTTTAAAACAACTAGCATGACATTTAAAATTCATCCCGAGATAGAAACGCAACAACAATGGCTTACTTTTAATTTCAACAAGTTCCTCAACATCAATATTATTTGTTTCTTGTATGAAAACGACACAGTAGCATCACACAATTTACAGCAGGCAGGAATTCAGACACCAAGATGCAGCGGTTAGCAAGCAGGCTAAAGCAGAGCTAACATTTCTCCCCAGGGGAGCTAAAATGTCTTTAGCTTGGTGTTATTTTAAACCAGACAGTGAAGGCAGAGCTACATCCACAGTGTGTGTGTGTGGCGTGTTCAACATGCTAGAAAGGGCAGCTCCATAATTCGCTGCCTTCAAACAGACTGCTTTCACATTCAGCTTTTCCTTCAAGGGTTAATTCCCAGTTTTCCACTAAAAGTCCAAGTTCACAGCGAACACGGACAAGAACATGGAGCCAGTCGACAGAGAAAGATAAGCTGTCGCTAATACTAAAAGAAGCCAACAGATTGCAAAACAGCTGGGTTTCTAGCCTGCTGCAACACCCAAGCTGCCCGGCAGCTACAGGTGTTATGCAGGGCAAAGGTAACCTGCCGACAGCCAAGGCTCCGCATCCCTGCCCTGTCATGGGAATGTGCATCGCTCAACAACTTGAAATAGGAGCAACGCTGCTTCTTAATATGTTCTTAATAGGGCCCGACCGATATATCGGCCGGCCGATATAGGGGTCATTAACTCTATCGGCTATCGGCCAAAAAGACGGCCGATATAGCGCTACCTATCCAGTAGATGGCGCCAGCTTCATGAACTCATGTTGTGGGCTCCACTCCTCGGGGGGGTGGAGCCACCATCACAGCACACATGCAGCGGAGTCAAGCAGAGACGACGGTGATGAGGAAGTAGGAGGTAAGTCTTCAGTTTTAAGCATATTTGTTGTGTCAGTGGTAAATTGAACGGTAAAATAAGCAATGACAAAAGTATGTTTCCCCTCAACATGCTTCCTAAGTTTATTGTGTGCCTCGTGGTCTCGTATTGAAAAGTTAACCTGAAAAAATAAAATAAATACTTTCGCTGCATTACGCTCTATGCAGAGCTCACACTGCTTCCCCTTTAGTCATGCAGGGCAGTAAGTAAGTAACATTGGCCTTTTTCTGGTAGACATTCTGGAATATTCTCAGACAATTTCCTCCGCTCTTCTTCAGCAGTCTTTTCAAACTCACGCGGTTCACCCGCGGCTTGCGAAAAAAATAGTGCAGATGCCGAAACTATCGCTGCACGGTGCGGGCGGAGCGTGCAGCGCTTCGGCCGCCCATGTGGCCTGTAGAATAGGATAACAAGGGTGACGAATGAAGGAGTCCCCGTTTAGCGGCACTTCGGCGGCACACGACCGTTGTCTCAGCTGAGGACGGGCGAGGGGGGGTTGGCAACAAAGCAATGAAACGCTGTGCAGGGAGTCCCCCCTCCTCTCCCTAGCTGGGAGAGGAGTAGGGGGCGGTAATACGAGAAAATAAACACCCCTCTCTACAATAGAATAAATCTATTGTATTTTTCAGCCTTATATTTTACATAAGGCTTATACATTGCCACATACTAATTTAACGTATCTTATTTTTATTTTCCTAATACTGTCGGCTTTGGAAAGGATCAAAACACAAAGTGTAAAACTCAAAAGTATTTTAATGCCAAAAATCATAGGATGCTGAAACCAGCAGAGTATGACTGAAACTGAACCGTATGCACTGAGGAGTGAGAGATGACAGAGGACTAGTTATGAGGAGGAGCTGTGAGTGGGAACAGAGGACAGCAGGGGAACATAGGAGGAACTATAAATGAAAATAATTTTAAAGAAGAAATAATCCTAAAAGGGAAAGAAGAATAACTAGAAAAAAACCTGACAACAAACGGAAGACGAATACTAAATGAGAAAACCTTAACAGCTGGAGAACCAAACAAAAACAGAGCCATTGGTTTTGAGCCACAATGTCTGATATCATTTATTTACATGATAATTTTTAAACTTTTAAGTATAAAAATGCCACATTTAATGTATTTTACTTTGTCTTAGTATCAACAGATATATAACTGTACTTTTATGCTGATTATTTTATTACAGATGGAAAAAGAGAGTCGTAGTAAGGTGTGGGACTACTTCATTAAAGATCCATCCGGTGATGTCATCTGCAGCATCTGCTCATCTTCAGTAGTAGTTTGTGTGTTCTGTTGCTTTTGAGATTGCAAAATAAATCTTATTTGCATTACTTGGAAACCCTAGTGAGTTATTGAGACAGCTCTTTGGTGTGTAATAGAGAAATAAGTTTGCATCAAAAAGGCAGAGAATGAAGGGTTTAATCTTAAGAACATTTGTATTTATTTCATTTTTTGTGAGGGAGATTTATCGGCCATTATATCGGCTATCGGCCTTTGTTAAAAGTTTTATATCGGTATCGGCCCCCAAAAAACCATATCGGTCGGGCCCTAGTTCTTAATATAAACATGTTTTTTAAATCAGCGTACTTCCTAAACAAGTGAAAGTGAAACTTAAAGGTCAACTTGGATGTGTTTTCTTCTTATTTTAACACTGAAAAGCATCGTCTCGGGACCCCATATCAACAGATACTCAAATTCAAATGACTTGGAATCGGATCGGGAGCAAAAACACTTGATCAGAACATGCCAAGTAAACACACTCATGTTTACTCACAAAATCTAAAGGAAAACATTCATGTAATAAACAAATAAACAGTTTGAGTAAATAAAGAAACTCTCAGAAGCTACGGTGGCTCAGAACCATCCTCACTTACTTGGAGCCAACAGGTCATTCAGGGAAAAGTCATACACCTGGCACATAGGCAGGAACTGTCGCCTAAAGACACACACACACACACAATTTGTAGTCGGGCATCATGACTGCAGTTAAATGCTAGTTAACAAAACCCAGAGAACTCACATGCGCGTGTACACACTCATGATAGCAATAGCACGTTCATGATAGGCAGAGTACTGAATGTTCTCCAGCATCGGAATCTGATGAACAAAAAAAAAAAAGTAAGTCCTAATCAGATTCTAGGGCAGTGCACACATGCGTGCGTGTGTGTGCGCACACACACACACACACACGAGGGTGTGAAAAAGGCTCAAAACACCCAGGCTGCTTGAACGTAAAGACCTTCTGAGCGTTAACGTGTGATGCTGATGCGTCAGTCATGAGACACCCCCTGAACACCTGAAGAGAAGCAGAGGTTAAAGTTCACCAGTAATACCACAAAACTCAGAACTCACCATAGCGTGACATTCAGGCCTGAAGCGGTAAATGAGGTGCAGAACTCTCATGTACAAAGTCTGAACAGCTTCTGGCTGTAGGAGACAAAAACATGTGACTACAGGGTAGCAATGGTCTGGATCAGCCACTCTAAGGGATTTGCAACAGGCCATGCCCACCTGAGGAGCACAGGTGTTTTCTCACCCAGGTTTCACACTGCAAGCATCAGCGGAACAGAACAGCAGCGGAGCGGCTCACTCGCAAACTTCAAAGCAGTCCTTTTGACACCGGGAGAGTCTTGGCCGCGGCACAGCTTCCTCGCTGCGCCTCGCGAGATTCTAAAATCCCTCGAGACTTCTGACACCTTCCTCGCGAGACAACAAATTCCCTCAAGATTACCGCCATCCTTCCTCATCGAGAGATCACAACCCCCGTGAGGAATCATACCGTTGCACTTCTCGAAAGAAACTGGCGGCAAACAAAGCCATTCGGTCACACGTGCTGACGTAAGTTATATATAACATCGCAACGTTGCAATTTATTTTGAAAATAACGGGATTTTACACTGAAACCGTGTGTGGTTTCCTGTCTCGCACTATGTGATAGTGTTGTCAAAAAAATCGATACCCAGATATAAATCAATACTAAAAGTGGTATCTAAATTAGATATTCCATCCCTGTAGTATCGAAATTATGGAGTCTCACATATACACAGCCTTCTTCAAGTACACCGACACGCACGACAGCCAGATGCCGTAAAGCAGCCTCCGCCTCTCGGACAAACAGAAGACGCCGCCGCATGGCTGCATTGCAATTTCCCGCACGAGTTGTCCCCGATCCCAGTTTTGTTAACAATGGCAACAGCGAATTCGGGAGGCGCTTCACAGCCCAACTTAATCAACAACACAAAGAGCAAAAGTGCAGTGTGGAAACACTTTGGATACAAGGCTGATGAGTTGGGGAAGGCAACAGACCATGACGTCTGTTTGCAAGGAGTGCTACAAAGAGATCGCTACGAAGTCAAGCAGCACAACAAGTTTGGCCAAGCATCTGAGAGACCAACACCCCAAACTGCATGATGAAATGAAACAGGTGTCTAAAATTTATTAAATCTAGTAAGACTGTGTCTAATTGCACCAACAAATTTGAGCTCACGTATTAGTATTAGCTAAGCTAGCATACCAAGTCCGACACGTAGTTGTATATTCACGCTTATATGCTTAAAGGAAAACTCCCTTTATTGCAACCCGGACTTAATTTCTAGCATGCAGTATGTTTGTTTAGTCATGCTGACAACTTCGATGCTACTTGGATTCCCCGGGGTATTTAGATCCATCGGCAAATCGCCATCAGAGTATATCCATATAACGGGTGCGGACGGACACCCGTGGTGCAGCCTCGAAATAAGACATTATCTGCACCAAAACATTAACATGTCGTAAGGTTTTGTTCGGAATCATTAACATGATTCCCCTGTTCATTTGGAGCGGGTCTGGGATTTCTAAGCGTAAACAGACTAGCCGCGGATAATCTAACCAGCGCTTTTAATGATGTCACTGCCATGCGCCAATCTGTTTTTATTAAGATTACCTTTGTCCTACTGTGGAGAAATTCGTTTTCTCCCTTTATTGACCAACAGAGTTGTTCAAAAGTACAGAACAAAACATATGACATTACATCTTATGACAAAAATGCACCTTAAACAGAGTTTAAGCAGCAAAACATCATTCTGCAAATAGTGTATATATAGTGAGACAATTCATGATTTAAAGTGTTAACTTTGGCCTGTTTTTGTATGCACTTTTTAAAAAATGCTGATACTTGAAAGGTTTAAGCACTTTATACACTTAATTCTTAATTAAGCATTATAAATTGAGGAGTGTTATTTTTTGAGTAAACTTGTTCAATAAATTTGTGTTTTTAAATAGTATCAAAATCGAGTATCGAGTTTTTGTTCCCGTATCGAATCGAGTTTTAAATTTTAGTATTGTGACAACCCTACTATGTGAACTGCGGAAATTGACGTGCCCCAGAAGCGGCTCGCGGAAAAAATAGAACTCGATCCTATCTTTAGCGGCGCAGCATGCCGCTTCTGGGACGCGACTGAAAATTGCCGCATTGCGGCTGGTTTGAAACACTCCAGAGACTATTGGATTCTATTTGAAACGGTGCTGCTTCGCTGCCGTTCCGCTGATGCTTGCAGTGTGCAACCGGGGTCATACATGTCCACACTGGAACTTCAGGGGGTATACCATGTAGCGAGCTCAGAACATCAGGGCTATCCTGACAAATCCCTGCTTTGCAAACCGCACCTGTTAGGAATTGTCGGTACCACCAACGATGCACAGGTGGATTCAATCCTCTCTAATCCAAGCAAGAAGAAACATTTGAGGTTCACATGCGCCACAGGCAGCCCAATAATCAATGAATAAGTGAGAATGGAAGGAAAGGGCAGAGCCTCGTCAGTGTTGCCAGATGTACGATAATTATCGTATTTGTACCATAATTTTGGGCTCTGTACGATGTACGATCAATAGTTTCAAAAATCCTCAAATGTACGATAATTTCACATTGCATCTAGTATCACCGTCGTTTGCTGTGGCTTTCCCAAGTCAATTACATAATTTTAAACTGTTCTGAAGTCAGATTTCACCTCAGTGCTTACAGGTTTATGCTATCAAACGGAGATCGAGATCAGCAATTAGGTGAGTAGGCTGCTTTGTCATTTATTGGGTCAATTTTTCCACTGTTGTGATGTTTTGTCGCGTGCTTTTAACCTATGTAGAAATGAAACAAATAGGACTGAGCAAATGTGCATATTGTGTCAATGCATGGAGGTCAGAGTGGTGCCAACACACTCTGCATGTTTATAGGCATTATATTACTGGTTTTACAGATGTTTAATTAAACAGGGCAATATAAATCACCTTCTTTGTTATATTATATTGGAGTGAGAAGTCGTTTATAGAACGTTATTATCAAATTTATAATGTACGATAATTTGTACTGAAAAACGATAATTTAGGCCTCTCTGTACAATATTGTGGGATTTTGGATCTGGCAACACTGAGCCTCGTTCTCCCAGATGGAGGAAGAAAGAACTCCTGCCTACGAGGACTACAAAGACATAACTAAAATAGAAACCACCAGCTGTTTGATTAAAGCTGTGTTAGGTGGAACGCTCAGCATTTACATGTTTCTATGTCAATGTTGGATGTCTGTTTCAGGTGTGTTTCTCCTCATATTTTATTTATTCTTGGTTTTCATCATATATGTGTTGTTCTCAAGTTCTGTTCCAGAGTTTAGAGACTTGAGGACTTTGTTTTTGCTGAGCAGCAGTGAGTCTTATTTTGAAAAATCTAGTAGTTTTCATTATTTTCTTCCTTCAAACTCAAAAGGTGACACAAATGTTTCTTCTGATTACTATTAAGGTACACCTGAAGAACAAGTCAAATAAATATTTCACAATTCTACAGTAGATTATCTGAGATATACACTGTCAAAGTTCATCACAATACTAGTGTTTTGTGAAAAGGTCATTCGTGAATTTTTCTTTGCAAACTCATGAGAGGTGACTAAAGTCTCTGAATTGCCATTAAGGCCCATCTGAAGAAAAAGTACTACGGTATATGTAATCATTTTACTGTAGATTTGAGGGAAATGACAGTCGAAATACCTCATTGTGACCATCAAGGATGGTCCTTCCTGTCTTTTTTTTTTATCCTGGGAGGTGACGACAAATTCTCTTTGTATCACGCCAGGAGGTAACATGGTCCGAGGGCCACACAAAAAAGACCCAGAAGCAAGAGGGCAGGATGTGAGCTATATTCTGGTGTTGTTTTCCTTTTTTGTTCCATATAATCCAGCTCTGTGACAGCTAAATGTCGCTTCTATGTCACAAGAATAGTAGCAGCTTTACACTTACACTTATGTGATTTAGACACGATTTTTATTGCCGTTTGCCTTTTGACTTATGTGGACTTTTTACTCCTCCCTTCCAGGAATACTGGGTATACCCTCTTTGATGCTCACCAGTATTTAATCTATTCGCTCAGACGTTACTCTGATGAAGACAAGAGGTGTTGAAACGTTAGTTTTTCTTTCTTTTGTGCTCGCACAAAACAGACATTTTTCTCACTCGAGTGCTCCAGCCTTCCTGCTATGTTCTACCCCTGAAAGGTTTATCCTGAAAGGGTTACGGAGGCTCTGAAACCTGCTAACGGCCTTTAAGACCGCCTTCCTCTCGCTGCTACGGTCCCACACCGGGTCTTACCTTGGGAATCGGAGTTAAGTCGCTTTTGGACAAATGTTTGGCCTCTTGTCCCACGAGAACCTCGCTGCGGTAGAAGTTGACTAGCGTCTCCGCGTTGTGAACGGGGAAGGTGTTTTCCGCCATCGCTGAAAGGAACAAAAACACACAGACACGGTCACAGCACTCGGAGAACTACAGAGATACAAAAATTCGCGCCCTAAATAGTACTTCTTCTTCCTTTTGGGAGTTTTTCGGCGGTTGACGTGCATTACCGCCACCTACCGATCTGTAGCGCTTCCAACCACAGACATACAGTGTTCTGGCGCTGTCGTAGTGGTCAGGCGCCATCTTAGATGGGTCTCCATTCGCCCCTAGTGCATTCATTTCTACTGAGGAAGGTGCTTACCCACCCAATTAAAAAACACATTTTATCAAGCTTTTTCACAAAACTAATTGTATGGCAAGTTAATTAAAATATAAATATAATAAAAAAAACAATGTTAATAAATCAAATATAATCCCGTCAGGTAGGCTAGAAAAATCAAAATAATCCCACGTGATCTGTTTTCAATAGTACACCGGTTGTTGCAACTGTAGAGTGCACAAGAATGGGCATAGTTGCCCCCTTTGCATTGACTTTGGTGAATGATGAGACCCATCCAATATGGCGGCGATGCTGTTACGCTCTCCATCACCCAATGGGGACACATTCAAGCAGTCTCTGATAGGGAGCTGCGGTCACGCAATTTCTGGTTAATTTGGGCATGAAAATGTAGACGCCTCGCTGGGCGATGGTAGAGTGTAACAGTCTCGCCGCCATATTGGATGGGTCTCCTCACTCTCCAAAGCCTACGGTTACAACCATAGATTTGTATATAAACACGTTTTTATATAAATATCTATGGTTACAACAACATAGACATAGATAGACCCTGTGTGGCCGCTACTGCTTATGGGCGCTGACGAGCAATGGCGCCGCCTTCATGGATCGGTCGAACATGTTAAATTTGCCATAACTCCTTGAATTCTCAACCAAATTTGATGCGTTTTTTTTTCACCTGCAAACTTCACACATGTAGCTCTGATACAGGACACATGTTTTAGGGTTTTTAGCAATAGTGAGTTTGCTGTGGGTACATATGTGACTCTTGTCCAGAGCTTAGTGTCAAAACTTATAGAAAAAATAATTAATTGCAGGAACTGTCGCCTAAACACACACACACACACACACACACGCACACACACACACACTCACACACACACACACACACACACACACACACACACACACACACACACACACACACTTGTTATTTTGCTGGAGGTTGCGCTCCCATGGATTTTGACCCTAATGGCCATCCGTTGGTAAGGTAAGGTAAAGAAAGAAAGAAAGAAAGAAAGAAAGAAAGAAAGAAAGAAAGAAAGAAAGAAAGAAAGGAAGGAAGGTCTTGTTCTGTGTGAAAATAGTCACAACATGGGCAAGGGAGTTGGAAGAGACTCTGCAGGGATGCTTTGAGTCAACAGACTGGGATGTTCTTTGTGATTCAAATCAGGACAATATTGACAATCTGACAGGCTGTGTTACAGACTATATCAACTTCTGTGTTGACACGGTAGTGCCCCAAAAAAACATACTGTGCTTTCCCAACAATAAGCCCTGGGTTTCCAAAGACATGAAAGCAACCCTGAACAAGAAAAAAAGAGCTTTCAGAAATGGTGACAGAGATCAGCTGAAACTGGTGCAGAAGGAGCTGAAAGCCAAGATTGCTGAGGGGAAAGAGTCCTACAGACAGAGGCTGGAAAACAAACTGCAGGAAAACAACACCAGGGAGGTGTGGAATGGAATGCGGGCTATCACTGGCCTGAGACAAAAGAGAGGTGTTGGGATGGAGGGGGGTGTCGAAAGTGCTAACAACCTAAATCTACACTTCAATAGGTTCGACTGCCCAGTCTCCTGTCTCCACAGCCAGCTCTTCCCATCATCCCCTTCCATCCCCCCATCTCCTGCCTCCTCTGACTGTCTCACCCTGTCCCTCTCAGCAGATGACATCAAAAAAGAATTGGGCAGATTCCACCCCGGCAAAGCTGCTGGTCCTGATGGTGTCAGTCCAAGGGCCCTTAGGTGTTGTGCTTCCCAGCTGTCTGGAGTTTTACAACGGATCTTCAACATGAGCCTGGAGATGCAGAGAGTTCCATCACTCTGGAAGACATCCTGCCTGGTTCCTGTCCCTAAAAAGATCAACCCGTCGACCCCCTGTGACTACAGGCCAGTGGCTCTGACCTCACATGTCATGAAGACGCTGGAGAGACTCATCCTAAAACATCTGCGGCTGCTGGTGGAGCCATGGCTGGATCCCCTGCAGTTTGCTTATCAACCTCTTATCGGTGTGGAGGATGCCCTCATCTACCTGCTGGACCGGGCATATTCTCATCTGGACATTGCTGGGAGCACTGTGAGGGTCATGTTTTTCGACTTCTCTAGTGCCTTTAACACAATCAGACCATCACTGCTGGGGAACAAGCTCACGGAAATGCAGGTGGATGCCCCACTTGTAGGTTGGATTACGGACTATTTAACAAATAGAACACAGCATGTCCGACTGATGAGCTGCCGCTCAGATAACATCCTGAGCAGCACGGGGGCGCCGCAGGGGACAGTCCTATCACCCTTCCTCTTCACCCTTTACACATCTGACTTCATGTACAAGTCTCAGTCTTGCCTTCTGCAGAAATTCTCTGATGACTCTGTTATTGTGGGCTGTATCAGGGATGGTCAGGAGGTGGAGTACAGGAGTGTGGTGGACAGCTTTGTGGAGTGGTGTGAGCTAAACAACCTACAACTTAACATCACAAAGACTAAAGAACTGATTATGGACTTTAGGAAGCAGGCCCCACCTCCTACTCCTGTCACCATAAGAGGGGCTGACATTGAGATCGTTGAGGACTAGCGGTACCTGGGTGTACACTTGGACTGTAAACTGGACTGGACCAAGAACACCAATGCTATCTTCAAAAAAGGGCAGAGTCGGCTTTTCCTACTGAGGCGGCTCAGGTCCTTCAATGTTGGGAGGAAAATGCTGACCATGTTCTATCACTCGGTGTTGGAGAGCATTGTGTTCTTTGCAGTTGTGTGCTGGGGCAGTGGGGTGAAGACAGCTGATGCCAGCCGACTGAACAAGCTGATTAGAAGGGCTGGGTCTGTCCTGGGTGTTAGAATGGAGAACCTGGAGGAGGTGTCTGAGAGGAGAATGCTAAAAAAGCTTCTCTCTATCATGAACAACCCCTCCCACCCCATGCACGCCCACATGATGGACCACTGAAGCACACGCAGCAAAAGACTCATTGCCCCGAAATGCAGAACTGACCGCCACAGGAAATCCTTTGTACCGGTGGCAATAGGACTGTTTAACTCTTCCTCACGCTGTAGGTGATTCTACCAAATACTATTACCTTGGTTATTCTGTTCCCTCCCAGACTGTGCAATATTACCCAAGAGTTCTGATTGTAAATATGTTTTTATCCCCCCATCATATCATATGCTGCTACAAACCCATATTCTATTACACAATACTTTAATCACTTTTGTGAATCGCCTGCACCGACGGCTTAATTACTTATTCACAAGGATGCAGTCATGTATTTAATTATTGAGATATGCGATTGTTTGTTTTGCACTATCCTACATGGTACTACTGTAGATCTTTTTTTAATGAATATATTGTATATCATGTTTCTATTTCACCTGTTCCTTTGTCTCTCCGACTGCTTTGAGCATGTACATGACACAAGAATTTCCCTCGGGATAAATAAAGTTGTTCTTACTCTTATTCTTAATATGAAGCAACACAGGTGATAATGCTGCAGGATTTCATAATTGTATCCTTCTCAGCAGCAGCACTGCAGGTGCTCTCCATGTCCAACATGTGTGTAAGCCAGGTCCTTAGTCAACTTAAAGTTGCGCACATTTTCCGCTAAGTTTTCTTTCATAAATCCCAAAGTTTGCGTGGAAAGTTGCTTATGCAGTTTTCCGACCCCGTTTTGTGCGTAAGCAAGCTTGATAAATGAGGCTCCTTCTTTCAATGAGGCTTTTCTTTCAAAGCTCATCAGACTACAATGACCTGGATGACTGAGAACCTTCACAGACGAGGCTCCTTGTCATTCACCCCCCCCCCCCCCCCCCCCCCCCCAGACACACAGCCAACAATGGCCGAGTCATCTGAGAACTTCTGGAGGTGACAGCTGCTGGTCCTGGCTAGTCACTTAACATGTTAGCAGTGAACCAACACCCCGACAGCTGCAAAATGTTTTGTTTTTGCAGCTACCGCCTCTAAACACTAGATGTCGCCATTGTTTGTGTTCCATATTCATATTAGTGTTACTGCAAAGGGTCTAAATACTTAGGACCATGTGATATTTCAGTTTTTCTTTTTTAATAGATCTGCTTACATTTCTAAAATTGTGCTGTTTTTTTTTCAATTTGGCATGTGGTGTGTACATTGAAGGAAAATTTTAATTTAATTGATATTAGCAAATGGCCCAAGGACTGTTCAAATCCTAAGGATGCATCATTGCAAGTTGCTCAAAGTTTCTGGATACGTTCTTCCTCCACCACTGCATCAAGAATGCATCTTTCTGCAGCCTAATGATAGCAAAGTGTCTGACAATGCACTGTGTTGCAACCGTCCGAACATCAGAGGAGAAATCTGTTAACTGTGGAGTTTTATATCAGAAATGCTAATATAGAAATAAGTTGTCTGTTATGTCTGTCAGTTCTGTTCCAAATGCACATAACCTCCCTATCTATAGCTGGCTTCCTACAGTGCACAAAGACATATTAGAAGCCCCCCCCCAAAAAAAAGAAATATTGTAAACCAATTTTCCTTTCAAGGAAGTCCTCCAAAGAGCTTCAAATAACAAGCTTCTGCTCCTGATGCTCAATTCACTTTCTTTGGTGGGAGAAATTACAGTCCCTTGTGTGTGTGTTTGTTATTGATGTACACTGTCTCTAACATGAAGTAGTTTTCAAAGTGTTAGCCTTAAGTTATCTCTTAGTAGATTCACTGCTCCAGTACATCGAGAGGAGCCAGCTCAGGTGGCTAGAGCATTTGGTCAGGGTGCCTCCTGGATTCCTCCCTGGAGATTTCCAGGCACACCCAACCGGAGGAAGACCCAGGACACGCTTGAGGGACTATCAAATCAAACTTTATTTATATAGCACTTTTCATGCATAGGATGCAACACAAAGTGCTTAACAGATTAAAATGACCCATATAACCCACATTCCCTCCCTTTCCCACACTTAAAACAATTGTGAGTTTCACCCCCAATCCACAAATCATTCCCAGGCACACACACACACATACACAAACACTCGTCCACATAACACATTAAAAGACCACAGTAAACACTAGGCTGAGCTCAGATTGACGGTAATGTTAACACGTCATCAAGGGAGCCATCTGCCTCGACAGCAGATCGATGGCAGCAGCCAAGACACTAATCCAGGGCGCCCTGGGAAGGAGGGTGACAACCACCACCACTACCTGGGCACTACCCTATGAGTGCCCCAGCCGCCGCCACTGACCACTGGCCCCGAGGCAGAGGGCTCCACAGAGGAAACACTGGAAGGATTAAAATATGTGACATGTAAAATAACGAGCTAATATGGAAAATATCAATCAATCAATTTTATTTGTAGAGCACCTTCCACAATGTTATCAGAAGCCCAAGGTGCTGAACAGCATCATCATAAAAACATTCCCAGTACCTGGGCATAAAAGCAAGATAAAAACATAAAATCATAAAATAAGACGCAAGCAATATTACAAAAACAGAGAGGTAACGGAATGAGACTGATCAATTAAAAACAAATGTTGGACAAAATAAGATCAAGCATCCTGATCAAAAAGAAGAATTATTAAAAACCATAATGTCAGGGCAGTTCAATGAACCCTAGCGCTGAAAAGCAATCAAATAAAAATGAGTCTTTAGACGCCTGCCTAATGCTCAATGGCAATTCATTCCACAGAGTTGGAGCCAAAACAGATGCATGTAAAATGTATGACGTAAAATATCCAATAAAATGTGATTATAAAAATAAAACAACATAAAAGTGTAACACAATAGTAATTAAAAATAAACGAGTAAAACAAGCAATGCAATGAATAGTAATCAGTTAAAAGCTAAACTAAAAAGGTGAGCCTTGAGACTGATCTTAGAAACATGAACGATCTCGGCGACCCTGAGATCCTCAGGCAGCCCGTTCCAGAGGCGAGGGCCGTAACAACTAAAAGACGCCATTAAGTAATGGTCTTCAGGTTCTCTGAAGATAGATCCCACAGCTAATCACACCGCCTTTTAGTCCGTCTGCAGTCACACTTTTTCGGGTTGGCTTGCGACTGAACCCACAAGATTCAGATCTGTAATGATCCAGCCCTGATCAAAAACCAGTCGGAGCTCATGGTGAGAAAGCTTGCTACATTGATGAAACTTCTCACGGTCGAATTTCACACCAGGTTCAGATTCGGGATTGTTCGCTTAGTCTAGCAGTGGCTTTCTGGGCAATGGCTACCAGAACAGGAAATGGTGGCCACACTATAATAGTCCTCCCCGAGATGTGCACGCTGCCTACTGGCGGGGAGAACTGCACCTCCTACACACAAATTCAACATCAGAACTAACAAATCTCATGTGGGTTGCACTGGGCAGACATGAAAATGGGAAATAAATTTTTTTTCATTTCTTTCCTGTTCCAACACACCTGATTTTAATCAGTAGGTGTTTACCAGACTTAGGCAGCGCTAAATGAACTGCTGAACAGCTGATTTAACCATTGAATCAAGTGTGTTGGAGCACTGAAACAACTAAAATGTGCTAGATAGTGGTCTACCAGAACCAGGATAGAGCACCCCTGATTTAGGGGAAAGGACTGCAAACACAGGCACAAGATTGAAATCTAGGATATGAAAGTTAAAATGGTACCAGCAGGAACCCATGTAGTAAAATCTGTATTATCTATCCTGTGTGGACTCTAGTGTGTGTTTTTAAACTGACCTTATGCCGGAATCTGTCTCCACAAACATCACACACAAAAGGCTTCTGTCCTGTGTGGACTCTCATGTGAGTGTTTAAATTCACCTTTTGGCTAAATCCTTTTCCACAAACATCACACACAAAAGGTTTCTGTCCCGTGTGGACATTTATGTGTCTGTTTAAAATTGCCTTCAGGCTAAATTTTTGTCCACAGACCTTACAGTCAAAAGGTTTATGTCCGGTGTGGACTCTCATGTGAAGTTTTAATGTTGTCATCTGGCCAAATCTTTTTCCACAGGACTCACAAACAAAAGGCCTCTCTCCTGTGTGGACTCTCCTGTGCTTCTTTACACTTGTCTTTTGGCTAAATCTTTGTCCACAGAGCTCACAAGAAAAAGGTTTCTCTCCAGTGTGGATTCGCATGTGATCCATCAAATGTGCTTTAAGTCTAAATCTTTGTCCACAATCATTACACATAAATGGTTTTTGTCCTGTGTGGACTCTCATGTGACCAATCAAATTGGATTTATTGCTAAATCTTTGTCCACAAACATCACACACAAATGGTTTCTCTCCTGTGTGGACTCTCATGTGACTGATCAATTGTGATTTATGAATACATCTTTGTCCACAAACATCACACACAAAAGGTTTCTGACCTGTGTGGACTCTCATGTGACTCTTAAATTTTGATTTATCGCTAAATGAAACTCCACAATCATCACAACTAAATGACTTAAGTTCGGCCTGGACTTTCCTGCACAAGTTTGAATTCTCCTCCACTGTAAGACCTTTCTTATTGCCCAAACAGCTTGAAGACCTTGTCGATGAATGACTTTTCACTCTCATATGTTTCTGGAGAGATCCTTTGTGGAGAACAGGTTTACCACACTCAGGGCAGCTTAAAGATTTGTTCACAGCCTTAACATCTGACTCAGAAGACTCGCTCTCATTCCATTCTTTTTCACTGTCCTCAGTTTCTGACTCAGAGTCTGTCAAGGGTTTCAGCTGACAGTCACAACTGCTTCCGTCCTGGTCGTCTTCTTTCTCACTGATTTCAGTCTCTGAAGAGTTGGAATCATCTTCATTAGGATTTAGATCTAGATTCCTGTCACTTCCAACTTCTCCACAGTCCTTTCCGCAACTTATTGCCTTCATCTGATCTGGACAGCTGCTAGTTGGAAGATCTCTGTCTGTAGCCTGGTGCTGATCGAACTGTGACAACAAAACTTTGGCTTCATCCTCCTCACACTGACAAGAACCTGCAGTGGATAACATGCTGGTGGCACAAGTCTCCATTATCAAATAAAGGGGATCCTCCTCTTCCTTCTTAATGTTGAGGGTCTCCAGGTCCATCCGGCTCACATCAGGCCTCACTTCTTCACGAGCTGCTTCTTTATTTAACACCATCTGCTGAACATCTACATGGAACATTGACACACAAAAACATTACCTTTATGTTTATGTCAAGCAGAAGCTTTTTTACCATACTTCTTTTTTTTTAAATTATTTTAATTATCTTTTCAAACATGTTAAAGAGAACAAGACAAGTCAAGACAAAAAAAAAGAAAGGTTGAACACCCACCATCCTGTTATTCTGGATCAAACTCTGAAGGACCAGGGGTCTCATTTATCAAACATTGCGTAGAATCCTTACTAAAACTGTACTTAAGCTCAGCAAAAAAATGTACTTATGCCAAGCAGGTTTGTGATCTATCAAACACGGAGTACACACAGCTGCACGCAATCTCCGCTTCATGAATGAGAGACTGACAAGAATGTTTCTGAGCTGCATTTTAGTCACATTCCGCCCTCACCACGCCCACTTACTGCCATAAATAGTCAATGCAAAGTGCCTTGTGGATCTCATGCATATACATAAGCCGGCTATTGTAGCGCTCAGCAAATGACATGGCGACCGTAGATCAAGGCGGATCAAGGAAGCGCAATTTCACAGAAGCAGAAATTGAGGTACCTGTGGGTGAGGTGGAGAAATGAAAGGAAGTGCTTTTGCAAAACAAGTAAGAGAAAATCCACGGAGTGGCACAGCGTTGCTGAAGCCGTCAATGTTGTGAATTCTTCAGAGAGATCTGTGGCGGATATAAAAAAAAGGTCCACTCAGGATTTGATCCCCAGACTCCTGGGTGAAAGTCACGCGCGCCAACCAGTCAGCCAAACAGAGATCTCCCTTGTCCAAGTAGTCAGGGCACATGATCAATAGGGTCACAGTGACAGGACACACACTGTCACAGATGCATGACATTCTGTCTCAATCTGTGCCCCTGTCCGTATTCTGCGCTTCAGGCTGTGTGTGAGTGTGCGTGCATGTGTGTGTGCGCGTGTGTACGAGCGTGTGGGGGGTCTTGTTCTGTGTGAAAACGAAGCAGTACACGTGATAATGCTGCAGGATTTCATAATTGTATCCTTCTCAGCAGCAGCACTGCAGGTGCTCTCATGTCCAAAATGTGTGTAAGCCAGGTCCTTAGTCAACTTAAAGTTAAGCACATTTTTCTGTTAAGTTTTCTTTCATAAATCCCAAAGTTTGCGTGGAAAGTTGCTTACGCAGTTTTCTGACCCCGTTTTGTGCGTAAGCAAGCTTGATAAATGAGGCCCCTGAACAAAAAAAGGTTTTTAAGTGACACCTAATCAAAACACAAAAATGAATGCACTAAAGAAAAAAAAAAGGATGATCACAAAAGTTTTTTTTAACCCTTCCACTGTCTTCATGGGTGACCCCACCAGGAAAGTTGATCACTGGGCAGGGTTGATGGTTGATCCCTTGAGGTCGTGGGCACACATGAAAATGTTATTTTTTAAATTATTTTTAATAACTTTAATTTTGTCTTCAGTACAGATTTTAAGCTTCTCTCTGAACCACCTCCTGTCTTTAGATGTTAAAGTGTTAAATATCAGGGATTTTGCCTGCAAACTCTCTTAAAAGTGTATGTCGCGTATAGATAGAGGCCATATTGTGTTTGTTTTTGCCACGCAGCCACTCATGCATGCACACAAAGATGAAAAAGATGTCAACAAAGATCCTCCTATACTCAAACATAGGTAAAATATGTTTTGATATCATATTATCAATTATCAATTTAGGCCAACTGCGACTGTGCATTAATTTTGTCAAGCTGCATCAGCCTTGAACTAGAGGCTGCTGCAGCGCACAGTGCATGGATTAAGGAGTACTTGTAAAGAAGATGGGGTAATGGTTTTATGGACCTAGTTTGGGTTTAAGGACTCTGATGTTGAACAGAGAAACATCCTGAGTAGATTATTCTGGTGATAGTAAAGTAGTATCTGCGTTAATAGATCGTTAGCCCTAATTACCTTAAATGCTGTTTGTTTTTTTTAACACACGATAAACACAGGCTTCTAAACTTTCTGACATCTCCCATGATTTATTTTTAAACAAATTTCCATCCTCAGCTGATTCTGCCATTAATAACGTCGAGTTTTGTGCAGCTTCTCTCTCTCTCACTCTGTGCAGCCGGTGCGTACTGCGAGTATGACCTTGGTTGATTTATGTTTCTACCCTCCCCTGTAGTCACGAGGTTTGGGTAGTAACCAAAAGAATGAGATCACAGATACAAGTGGCTGAAATGAGTTTCCTCCGCAGGGTGTCTAGGCTCTCCCTAAGAGATAGGGTGAAAAGCTTGGTCATCCAGGAGGGGCTTGGAGTAGACCCGCTGCTCCTTCATGTCAAGAGGGGACAGTTAAAATGGCTCGAGCATCTAGTTAGGATACCTCCTGGCCACCTCCCTTATGAGGTTTTCCGAACACGTCCAACTGGAAGGAGACCTAAGAGGAGACCTAAGGCAGTGGTTCCCAAACTTATTTAGCCGCGCACCCCCTTCGATATCCCGACCATGTTGACGCACCCCCCAGCCCCCACATCAGACGTCAAGCTAAACAGACAGGATTAAAAAAAATATGATGGACCTTTTTCCCCATCACTTTCATTTTTTAAATAGTAATTAATAAGCATTCGATACCAATACAATTTCCTTTGATTTAATTTTAAATAAATATTTAGAGTGCCCAGGTAGCACATAAACAATGCAATTTAACAGTTTTCTTAAAGTAGGAACGTTTAACCTGTGCGGCCAGAGCGCTCTCCTTCCTTCTGCTCTGCGTAAACCTGAGCTGATCACCTACTTTTGCGTAATCAAATGTCTATAGGGGAAAAGATGGAAAAGGTATAGCCATGAGGTTCACTTTTGCCTCAGACCGACTTATTGCTGTTTTATGGTGTGGCTGAATCTGCGATCCGCTGCCACGCGGACTGGAATAACAAATGCTGCAGTAACAGGAGTTGTGGTCAGGTTCATGAGGAGTCACTGGCTGGAGCGGACTCGACTTTAATACGTCATCCCAAAATAGAAGCTAATATCTTAATTTGACCTTGAATGAAAAATGTTATAAAATCTCTTAAAAGTTTTTATCACGGAGGAGGCAGAGCTCATTTCTGTCTTCAGTCTGACGGCGCGCCGGAGTTTGTGCAGCGTGCACGCTTATTGAATCTGTGTGTGTGTGTGTGCGCGCGTGTGGCACAGCTCCATGAAGCTTGGTTTATGCTTGACGCATTCACTTTCCGCTTGGTGATGCGGCTTGCGGATGGAACGCGCTTCACAACTTGCAGCGTTTAAGTCACCGCGTCTCGTTATTGGCGCTATTTAAACCAATGTTGTAAAATTACTTCTGCCCAGCCCAGATGTGCACCCGTGAGCCGTGGTTCCGCTGGAACGCGTCTGATCTCTGACAGACGCACTCTGAACTTCAGATCTTCAGCGCGCTGTTAATAGCCTGAATGGGAATCATTTCTTGATTTATTTTGTTACATCCACAATGTTCTGTGTGTGAGGTTTACAACGTCAGAACACCTGCATGAGACAGGGTGTTAATTACAATCTGCCAGAATGACTCACCACCTTCAGATTCCTCCAACACCGTTAAAAATGATCAAATACGGAACATATCGGCGTGCGCAGGCCAGAGTGCTGAAGCTCGGCGCATTGTTATTATGAAGTTAGGGCACATGTGGAGGACACGTGCAAAAATATGCTTGTTTTCAGTTACATTTATTGTGCCCACTTACTTTTTCTTAGGCCCACCCACAAATGAGTTTCTGGCTACGCTAATGGTGACATCTGACAGACTTCTCTGAGCTCCGCAGCCATTACACTTTTCACCTCGCACACCCCTAGCGGCAGCTCGCGCACCCCCGGGGGTGCGCACACCACACTTTGGTAATCCCTGACCTAAGGCATGCTGGAGAGACTATGTCTCTCGGCTGGCCAGGGAACGCCTTTGGATTCCCTTGGAGAAGCTGGCCAGAGTTAGCCTAGTGAACTAGACCAAATTATTGCTTTTAGAGCTGAAACAACTAATCGATTTAATCGATTACAATCGATTATTAAAATAGTTAACAACTTTTTTAGTCATCGATTAGTTGTTTAATAATCATATTTTACCGCATAAAGTCTATTTTTTACCACAATCTGACATCGGTTACAATCTGTTAAATTTGCCGCCAGTGTGTGGCAGTAATGAGCCACTGATCTACCAGTGGAGCCGTAGAAGAAGAAATGAGCCAATAAGTGGCCTCGGTTTTCATGACGTATCACGTTACTGACGCTCATCTTGCTGTGAGAGATGGCGGAACGAGAAGAAATACGGAAGAAAAATAGAAGCGACAAAACAAGAGAAACCCCGGACAAAAACCTCACGAGTATGGGAGCACTTCACTAGATGCCTTGAAAAGACCGGTGACCTGCAAAATATGCAAAAACCATGGCACGACGGAAGCACGACGTCCCTAAGTGAACATTTGAGACGAAAACATGTGGGGGCTGATGCAGCAGAGGAAAGTCCGGTAAGTAACAGAAAATAAACAAGCTAACGCAGATCAAATTTGGGACTTAGTGTTAGCTGAGTTCGTTATAGTGAATGTTAAACATGTTTTTTGCCGCGTCAGTCTACGTTGTTCTACTTCTGACTGACTAGATGCAATCGTGAATCTCCTCCGTGTTGTGAATCATGCGCTTGCCAAATTTAGCACGTCTGTTTATAAGAATGTTCTCGTTAAGAGAAAAACGGCACAAACCCATAACTATGTTCCTCATTCAAAAAAGGACAACTCCGCGGAGAAAAATATACAGACGAGCTGTGTCCAGGTGAATATAACGCGGCATAGTTGTACGCTTTCAATTTTTAAATACAGGAGAAATTCAGAAAGTCCTTTTTTTTACTATTAAAAGGCTGTTTTACCATCTAACGCTGTAAAACGCCTCACAACACATTTTTGTCAAAATAAATGATCACTGTATATTGTCAATTAATTCAAATAATGTAATATTGATTTAGTGTTGTAGTGTGTGTGCTGCTTTATTTTATATGTGTACTTAATTCAGTTTATTTGTGTTTCTTATGCAGAAAAAAACAAGCAAAGATGGACAACTACATGGGGAACAAGACACTCACCCCCCAGCAATGCATACCACTTACAAACTCTATTCTAGATTCTACATTATTTTTTTATGGAATTTACCTCTTATATTTTGATGCCAAAAAATTATTCTGGACTGATATTTTGCACTGTTTAGCTCATTTTACACCACTGACTGTGTTCATGTGCAATAAAATAGATTGCAGTCAACTGCACAATTCTCTTATGTTTTTCTTTTTCCTAACTGAAATGTATTCATCACTTGTATAGGTTAAATAGCTAAACAATAACAAACCGATTAATCGAAAAAAATAATCGACAGATTAATCGATTATGAAAATAATTGTTAGTTGCAGCCCTAATTGCTTTGCAAAGTTTGGTCTAGGCACGCTCCATTGGAACCTCCGCAGCTCCTACCAGGACTCTGGCTAGCCAATCACAACTCTCTAGAGGGGTTTCAAACACATATGGGCCATTCCCATCTGTACCTGGTCGGCACAGCCCGGATAGCATAGCTTGCTTACATATCTTGGTGGCCTGCCTTTTTTCAGGGTGCAACAAGACTGTTATTCAGCCCTCTTTCTGGGGGGGTCTGCTTTTGGCTGACCAGGGCCAACACACCCACTGCTGACAGCAAATTCACACCTTCCATTAGATCAAGCCTCTGATTGGTGGGTTGAATAAGCCCACATGGGCTTAAGGCATGCTCAATTCATTATCATTCATTATCATGCTGATTACCTAGAAGCTGAAAATGTCTCTGACTGCGTTCCTTGCATACCTAAGCAAGGATGTGTGGAATCAACCGGGCCAGGCTGGGGCCGACTGGAGCTATCCGGGCAGGGCCGACCAGGTACAGATGGGAATGGCCCAATAAAGAGCTGTGATTGGTCCATAATGGTGGGCCAATCATAGTGCTATATCTGCTTAGTGAACAAATCACAGAGCTTTATCCGCTTTGTGGGCCAATCAGGGCACTCTATATGCCTGGTGGGTGGGATGATGCAACAGAGTGAAACAAGAGTATGTCACATTCATTGTCCACTGGAATGCGGAGATCATTTGAAAGACAACGGTAGAACCCGCCCCACAACTGAGAGCCGTCAATGGAGCGTGGCCAGACTGAATAATAAATTGACATACAACAGTCAAATGGAAATATCTGTAACCTGCCATTTAACTGTTTTGCCTTCTTGTGAAGATTGCTGCAAAGAGAAACAACTAAACTTGATTAACCCCAGAGCCATGCGCACTAGGGATGCACCGATGGATCGGCATTTGATCCCAATCGGCCGAGAGCGCCCCTATCGGTATTGATCGGAGTTTTCAAAATAGATCAAAGCAGACCGATCAGGTAGGGTTGTCACGGTAACCGGTGTGGCGGTAAACCCCGGTTAAAAAAAGTTCACAATAATAATAATCGTCTTGTTTAAAAAAAAAAAACCTACATTATGTCGGTGGATTACCGTGGCTGTGGTATCGGCACGGCGACCCTTACCAGCCACCGTATCATCTGCTGAAGCTGCCTGCGGCACATGCGCGCTTTGTTGTTTACAACCAAAACTTTCTTGAAGCTAAAGCTGAAATAATGGCCAAAGGAGGAGACGACAGCGTTCAGGACATTTTTTATCCCTCAAAGAAGACAAAGTCGGAAGAACGGGCATCTTTTGGATATTTGAAGAATGCCGAGGGAGTTTATAGAAGACGGCTATCCTGTTTGCAGCACGAGCAGAAAAAGTGTCTGTGAAAGGCAGCAACGCTTCAAATCTCATGACACATCTGCGTGACCATCACCCAAAACTCTACAGTCAACGCAAGGCAAGCTAACGTTAGCGTTTTAGCTAAAATGCGTGATCCGAGGATTTGGGTTGAGGGAGAATGCAACGAGTCGCTATATAAAGCAGCCGCAGCGCCGCTACCTGCATATAAACCGTGTCACGGACACTGCCATGTTGAAATGACGCTATGCATTACGGGGCTCCCAGGGGCAGATAAGAGTTGGTCTCTCTCCGAGAATAATTATGAATTTAACAATGATTACTGCCTGATGACATTTTCCCACATCTGCAAAGCTCACTGGAAGGACACAAACCGAGGACAATATTTTCCTGATATAGGGTTTATTACTCAAGTAAGTGTAAAAAAGTATCTGATTAGAAGGGTACTTGAGTACTGAGTATCATCTGATCTAATATTTTTTTAAATGATGACATCAAACAGACATAAAATAAGAAGTTATGGGCAAATATTGGTATTTTAAAGACTAAAGGGGAAAAATGTAAACAAATAAACAACATTATTACAAAATAACACATTTTAGGCAAAATTTAGACAAACTGAGGACAATATTTTCCTGACATACAGGGTTTATTTAATTGTGTGAAAATGTAGCACGTTTAAAAAAAACACCGCGATAATACCGAAAACCGTGGTAGTTTTGGTCACAATAACCGTGAGGTTAAATTTTCACACCGTGACAACCCTAATACAGACCATTTTAGATTAGGTTACATTTCCTTTATTCCCAGATTATGTAGTTTGTAGCACTCATTATAATGTTGTAGAAAATTTCTGGCCAATCCACGTGATCGGTATCAGCAGCAAAAAACCTGATCGGTGCATCCCTAATGCGCACTGCGCTGTACTGACTGTAAATGAGGGGGGAAACGATTTAATCGGATCCTTTTCTTTTCAGCATGGTTTAATGTAAAGTTTCATTCAGTACAAACTTTAGTTACACCAATCTAACGAGACAGAGCCTGGATTTATATTCTGAACAGTTTAAACATGTTTAAAACGGAGACATGCGTGACGCGTCTAAAAATCGCACCTGCTCAGCTATTATGGAAATTAAACTAACAAGATGAATAACATGAAATTATTTTAGGCACAGACAACATCCCCCACACTTTTGAAAAGCTTGCAACGCGCCTGGATCTACCGACATTTTACTTTCAACACTTTGTCTTGTTCCGTGTTTTTATTTAACTATTTTCCTGTCCTGTCCGTCTCTCGTCTTCCTGCATCTCCTCTAAAGTCTCCAGAAAAACTGCTGCCTGGATTCTTACTTTTTCAACTCATCACTTACTTGTGAACTAAGTAGATCAAAGGATCTCCTGACCGCAAAGCGGAGTGCGCGTTTCGATGCTGCGTCAGTGAGGTGAAATCACCGCAGCACGCGATGAGCGGAGCGCGTCAGGAATGATTAAAAGACAGAGTACCAGAGGATTTAAACCGATTTTCTAAAATAGCTATTGTTTTTATTGTCCATTTTTGTTCCTTTCATTGCGGTTATTTAAAATGTTTGATGAATTAAATGTATGAGGACTATTGGCGCGTTTGCACAAAGTAACTACTGAGTGTGGGCATCGTCCCCTGACTCCTCTCCAAATAAATGAATAAACTATGCTAATGACACTCATGAGCGAATCGTTTAGCAACTTGACTATTACTAACAACATCATAATGGACTGGGAAAATAAAAACATACAAACCCAATATGTCCAGCTGATCGCGGGGATTTAAAACAGCAGTTTTTTCCCTCTGCTGCTCATTTACCGTGAAAGCTCCTGCTGAGAGTCTAAGGCTGATCTTTCAGCTAAACTTCCCGGATTTCTCCTTCTGCTGCATCCAGTCGTTGTTTGACCTGCTGGCTCCACGTTTTTGGTATTATTGCGTTTTTGGGTCTTTTGAGAATCCCACACGGAAGTTCCATCTGTTTTTTTCTTCCGTCGAGGAACACAAGCTGGCTGGAACTAAATGCAAGATGCAAGCTTTGTTATACCGTGCTATGTAAACATAAGATGTCAAGATTTTTTTTAAAGAAAATAGAAAAAAGAAAGATATTAAAATTGTTTAAAAGCTCAGTATGTTTGTACCAGTTTTATAGGATTTTTATGCTTTTCACTGTTGAGAATCGAATGGAACATAATTTAATTTTCTTTTAGTCTGGAAATTTTGGTCTAACAGCAGCAAAGCATAAAGGATAAAAGGCTGTACAGAGAACAAAAATACTTAATATACTTAATTTGCCCCATTTAATAAAATACTGTAGCAGACTATTAACAGACCGAGAACATGAATGAAAAGCTGTGCAAAGAAGATATGAACAGATGCAGTTATAATACAGAAAACGTGCAAATCACAAAAAGCAGCAGGAATGCTAAAACAGTTTATTGGTTTTATTGGGAGCAGTGGTGGTTATAGAGTCTCACAGCTGGTAGGAAGGACCCAAGAGGACCTGCTACAACAGTGTTTCTTCATGCACCAGGATGCAAATAAAATTAAAAACATCCTTTTTAAACACATTCTTTTATTGTACCACATTAGGGAAATTCAGGTGTACCCGCAGCAAGTTAGAAGCAAATATGAGCATGCATATTCACACAAACATGAAAAGCTATAGTAAGGATTATTCTAAAATGCAACTGTTTTTTATTTATTTTATTAATAATAACAGTAATAAACTATTTTCTTCTTAAAAATTTTTAGACACCAAACAGCAGCCTGACATAAACAATCTTGAGATCTCCCTTGTAGCGTACCAAATGGCCAAGTATTCCACCCAAATGACCAGAAGTTTACTTTTTACTTACACAGGTCAATCTGACACCGTGGTGCCGATATTACGTCTATGAATTTGAGCCAATGTTCTTGACTTATTCTGTAGGACGTCACATGTCCTCAAGGCTGCAAGAGACACAGGACCACTTATCTATCCTCTTTGAATAAAGCTCGTCTCCCCTGGCTCACAAAACTTCATATGATCACATTTTGTTGAATGAACAATATGTTTAAATCCTAAGTGTTTTACTCTAGATCAAGTTTAAATATTTAGCCATCCACATTTATTTTAAGGAACGTGTTCTCACTATTACAGTTAGGTGGTCATATGTCCATTATAGAATCAGGGTGATACTGAAATCACCTCCAATTAAATTGTACTAATTCAATTGTAGTCAGGAAAATATACAAAAGTTTAGTTGTCTTTAATAATAGGAAAATGTGGTACATTTCCCTGTGAAAGCTGGAGCCATAGATAATAAAAATGATAATCAGTCTTACTGGAGCTGATTACATGACAGATAAAATGTCTTTACGATGCATACGTGTGAGAAAAGTGTCATTCTTAATGTTAAAACACCTACTGAATGTTACAATCTATAAAAAACCACGGATAATTACATTTCCTTCAATTCTCTGTCAGTGAGACTTCTGCACCTCTGAGCAGGTATTTTGGCCCACTCCTCACGACCAAACTAATCCAGTTGTCTCAGGTTTGAAGGGGGCCTTTTCCAGACAGCATGTTTTGGCTCACTTTTTTTTTTTAAATCTTTTATTTTCATTTATTGACATTTAAATAAAAATACAATCAGAATTAAATTGCTGCAAGCCAAAATGAAAAAGGGGACAGAAAGAAGAAAAACTTATGTTGTCTGCCCCTTTTAACTAAAATAGCATTAATACAAATGAAATAATCATATGATTCTTAAGGAAATTGAACAATATAGTTCCTGGACCTGTTGGCCGACAAAATCTCAACCCATGAATTTGAGAGAAAAATAGAAAAAGAAAACAATTTACACAGAAAGAAGCATTAAGTTACAGATCTATATACATACATATATACACATACAAGCACATACTAGGTTAATATCTTGTTCCTTTAATCCCCCCCACCCCCCTCCCCTCACACATTTATGTAACGGATCTATATAAGTTAATCGTTTTTTTATTTCTTTTTTGAAAGTCAATATTGTTTTTGCATTCTTGAGTTCAGTATTCAATTTATTCCACAGTTTAACTCCATATATGGAGACACAATGTTCTTTTACGAGTATCCGATGTCTAGGTATGTTAAATAATTCATGTCCCTTTAAATCATATTTGCTATGTCTTTTTGAAAATCGTTTAATTAATCCTGCAGGTACGTTCCTTTTGTTTGCATTATACATAAATTTTAAAATATTGTAGTCCACCAGATTATAGAATTTTAGTGTTTTTAATTTAATAAATAATGGATTGGACGGATCTCTGTAGTTGCTCCTTGTGATTATTCTTATTGCTTTTTTCTGTAAGATGTAGATCGAATTTGTGTAAGTTTTATATGTTGTTCCCCAGATTTCAATGCAGTAGTTCAGGTATGGTATGATCAGTGAGTTATACAACAAATATAATGAATTATTATCAAGCAACCCTTTTGCTCTATGTAACAGTGCAATCGTTTTAGATATTTTAGTTTTGACACTGTTTATATGCAGTTTCCAAGACATTTTTTCATCAATGATGACTCCCAGATACTTGACTTCTTGAACTCTTTTAATGTTAATCTCATCTATATTTAATAAAATTTCATCATTTGAATTTGTATTACTAAATATCATAAAACAGGATTTATCACTGTTTAATGATAGTTTGTTTCCATCAAACCATAGTTTAATTTTTTTCATCTCTGCTTGTATCACTTCTATCATCTGCTCAACATTATCTCCTGAATAGTAAAACGTTGTATCATCTGCAAATAAGGTGAATTTTAATAATTTGGATGCCTCAACAATGTCATTTATATAAATGATAAATAGTTTAGGGCCCAATACCGACCCTTGTGGTACACCACAAGTAATGTTATTTATATGTGATTTTGTGTTGTTTATTTGAACATATTGCTGCCTATCGGTAAGATAACTTGTTATCCATTTTAGGGCCATCCCTGTGATGCCATATTTACAAAGTTTTTTAATAAGAATTGTATGATCCACTGTATCGAATGCTTTTTTTAAATCAATAAAGATACTTATGAGATGATTTTTTTTGTCAAGGGCTTCCGATATTTCTTCTGTTAATTCCATTAATGCCATGGATGTTGAATGATTTGTTCTAAAACCATACTGACTGTCATTTAATACCTCTTCATTGATCAGGAATCGGTCCAACCTGGCAATATATAATTTTTCTAATATTTTTGAGAATTGTGACAATAAAGATATTGGTCTGTAGTTGGAAAAGATATGTTTGTCTCCACTTTTATGAAGTGGTATGACTTTTGCAATTTTCATCCTGTTAGGAAATGTCCCTGTTGCAAAAGATAAATTACATATGTAAGTCAATGGATGAATAATACTTTCTATTATATTTTTTATTAATGTTATGTCTAAACCGTCACAGTCAGTACTTCTTTTATTGATGCATTTATTGATAATATTTCTTATTTCATCACTAGTTACTGGACTTAAATATATACTGTTTTTATTGCTTTTGATATTCTCGCCTATACTATAATTTGTTCTTTTTGGAATGTTTTTTGCCAGGTCAGGTCCCACATTAGTAAAAAAATTGTTAAATTCATTTACTATTTTACTGGTTTCACTAATTTCATACTGTCCGTTTTCAAAATAATTTGGAACAGTTGAAGCTATTTGATTTCTTTTTATGACATTATTTATTATTCCCCAAGTTGCTCTAATATTATTTTTGTTTTCTTCTAATAAATTGCTATAATATTCCTTTTTTTGTCTTTTGATTATAGCAACTAATTTATTCTTATATTTTTTGTATTTCCTTTCTGCTTCACTTGTTCTTAGTTTTAAAAAACATCTATATAATGTATTTTTTTTCTTACAGGCGTTCAGCAGCCCTTTTGTCATCCATGGTTTGTTCATCCTCCCTCTTTGTGTTTGAGTTTTTGTTTTACAGTTTTTGTCATATTGACTACATAATATTCCTATAAAAGAATTGTAAGCCATGTTTACATCATCAACATATACTTCTTCCCAGTTTTGTTGTTCCAGGTCTCTTTTTAGTGCGTCTATAGCGTTTTGTGACCTGTCCCTTATAAGTTTTTCCATTTTTTGTTGATTTTTGATCTGGTGATTTTTATAGACTGTGAAAATTGGCAGATGATCACTGATATCAGTCATCACTATTCCACTTCTCTCTATCCCTTCTGAAGCATTAGTAAATATATTATCTATAATTGTTGAGCTATGCGCATCAATTCTTGTTGGTTTGGTTATGAGAGGAAACAGACCCAGTAGATACATTGAATTTATGAAGTTGTTTGCTGTCTTTGAATTGTTTACATTTTCCAGATCAACATTAAAGTCCCCACAGAGAAATACTTCCTTGTTACAGATTCCACTCAACATCTCAGTAATTGTATTTGTACATGTTTCTACACAAGATCCAGGCGCTCTATAGATACAACTTATTATTATGTTTTTTGTCTTTTCAGAGATTATTTCAATAGTGATCATTTCCATGACATCTTGGATGGCTGTTGACATGTTATGAATGACTTTACTTTTTAAATTGTGACATACATACAGTGCAACACCACCTCCTCTTTTATTATTCCGATTCATAAAGTACATTTCATACCCCTCTATTTGTACCTCCTCCTCATCTCCTTCTTTTAACCATGTTTCTGTTATAGCAATGATTTGAAATGGTTTTTTATTTTGTGTTAAATAATCCAATATTTTAGAGTAATTGCAATACAAACTTCTACTATTGAAGTGAATGATCGAGAGTGTACCTTCTGTCAAAACTGAATCCCTTAGTTCTTGTTCACTAAAATATTCACATTTATTATTCATATGTATGTGCAAATTATTTTCTAGTTCCTTTCCAGGGTCATATATCTTGTATTCTAGTTCCTCATAAGTATTTGTTGTTATGTCCATATGCTTGTGTTGTGGTTTACTTGTATCTTATTTATGTGATGCTAT